CGACGGATGTCTGCGTGGCGGTCAACGTGCCCTGGAAGGAGCTGGGCCGAGCGGGGGGAGGAGGGGGACGGTGGAGGAGGAAGAGGCGTTCGCGGATGCGGTGCTGGAGAATCTGGTGGCGAGTCTGGATGTCAGGGACTTTGGGCTCTTCGATGGGTGAGGAAATATCGAGGACCGGTGTGGAATGGCTGGGAGCATTCTTTTCCGGCCGCGCGGACGAGGACGAGGACGAGGACGAGGACGAGGACAAGAACGAGGACGTCCCTTGGGGCGATTGCGCAGAGTTAGTAGTACCTGGTTATGGGATTATGGGCGGAAAGGGATGGATGGAGCTGTGCCGCTTGCTGGGGAAGTCATTCTGTCCTCAAACAATAAAGGGAAGCCAGACTGTCAGAGGAGCTCTTCACCACTCAACTTGGGAATGAACGACAAAGTCACGCTCTACCAAACATGAACCTTTCCACAACGAACTAGATAGAACAACATTCCCTGTATTGGCCAAGACAGGCCTCTACAGCAGCGAGCGATGCGAATGCTCCTCACAAATATTACCAACCAAAGACTGTGGCATCGAGGGAGATCAATCCAATACCCTCCCATTCGTCTCAGCCAGCATAATGCTATGGCCGACCAAGCCAGTCCCAGACAACGCTCTGGTCAGCCACATTTGGTCCAACAAGATGTACAACTCTCCCCGCAACGACAATCAACCCATCCCCCAAAACAATTCAATCCAACCTTCAGTCCTCATCAATACTCACCAACTCCATGGCCTGCTCCAGCCTCTCCAATCCAAGACCCTTCCCCGACGGACTCCTCCCCACCGTCCTCCTACCCGACTCAGCAACCCTCCTAGCCTTCGGCTTCAGCTTCGGCTTGGGCCTAACCTGCACCAAAACGCCCTTACACCTCCCGCAGCGATGTTTGGCCGGGTCGATACTCTTCGAATGCCGGCCATACTCGGCGCCACACCCTTCTTCCTCCGGCGGCAGGTTCAGAAAGCCCTTGGCTGCGTTCGGCGGCGTGCCGACACAGACCCAGAGGTATTTGTGGTGGATCTGGTAATTGTGCTTCGTGGTCACTTCGACCTGGCGGTACATGTCGCGTTCATGATGGCGGAATGTTGACGTGACTTTTGCTGCCCTGGACATTCGGGGATATACGCGTTAGCCATCATGATCATCATGATCATCATCATTCTCCTCGGGTGGAGGGAGGGGAACAGGGGGAGGAAAAGACGTGGTCGTCCGCAATGCTGGCTACCTACCAAGATTTAAACTCGACCCCATGAGGCCGATCCCGGACCCCGCTGACCATGAAGTTGGCGAGATGGCAAAACTCATGCGCCAGGGTATTGACCAGTCGCTCTTCATTGTCGATGATTTTCTCGGCCAGCTCGATCGAGGCGTGATGTTGGACCTCTTTCACACCACCCCCCTTTTCCACCCCCACCGCCACCGTCGCGGCGGCCGGTCTGGAGTTCAGTGACGCTGTAGTGACGACCGTTCTTCGCCAATTCGCCCGTCCAGCCGTACTCCTGAGATTCTTGCTCCAGATGATCTTCACCCCGCCTGTGCTGTGCGATAAGCAAGCCAATTGTCCGCCCGCGACTCGCTCGTCTAGCTCTTTGAGCAGATCGTGCGCGAGCTTCTCTTTCTCGGCATCGAATTTCCTCTTCGCAGCCACAGCCAGCGTTTTCTCCTCGGTCGCCGCTTTCTTGGCCGGACTTCTTGCAGGGGTCTTTGTGGGGCTCTTACCGGTCTCTCTTCTCCGTCTTGCGGGCGATTCGGAGGGTGATTCGCTCCCGCTTCCACTTCCACTTCCACTATCACCCTCGCTCTCGTTCTCCTTCTCCTTCTCGTCGAAGATCTTCCACCTCTTCCTTGGACTCAACGTCAAAGGCGGCTTAGCAGGCGAGTACGCATCGTTCCATTCGTTGATCACCTCGCTCGACCAGAATGCATCGATAGATTGTCTGTGCGGCGACTGCGGGATCTGCGCTCCCCTTTTGCTGGGGGAGAGGAGGAGTGGGTTCTTTTTCGACGGCGAGTTGAGCTTGGTGGGTGATTTCAGTTTCGAGGGTGATGCGGGCGGTGTTTGCGGTGGGGTGGTGAGGAGTTTGTGATCGGGGCTGGATTGGTCGTTGCTGTCAAGGAGTATGCGGTGACTCTTATCTTTGATTTTGAAGGGTGAGATGTTGCGGGGAGGAGGCGAGAAACGAAGGATGGCCGCGTCGTCAACCTCGTTGGCTGCGTTTTCATCAGATTCTGAGGATCTGGATCGATCTTGCTGGCGGCGACGAAGAGGAGGAGGCCGTTGCTGATCCAGCGGTTCCAGAGGCCTTCGTCGTTTCGGCATGTTGTTCTTCTGGTGGTCGACTTCAGGAGCAAGCTGTGGTTTGACGGGTGAGGTGAGATCGATGACCTCTATTTCAGGACTTCTTGATCGGCTCGAGCTGGGCTGCTCTCGATCTCCATCGTTGAGATTCAATCCCGAAATGGCATCAGCAAGACATTTTGGACTGTCTTCCTTCTTCTTGCTCGTGCTCGTATTCATCCCAGTATCCTCTAAACTCAAGCTCCTTACTGCATCACTGAGATTACTCCTCTCCTCTCCCCCGGTCTGGCTAGCACCACGCATTAATCTCTTCCTAACACGAGACTTCTCTCTCGCAAGCCCATCTGATTCTCGGTCCGATGCAGAACCCGAGTCCGTCTCTGAACCATGGAAACTGATCTCCTCATCATCACCTACGATGAACCCACTGAGATCGGTGAAGTCGTCTTCGCTCTCCAGATCTTCGTCGTCGTCTCCGTCGTCGTCCTTGCAAACCGCTTCTTTGAGAACGAACATCGCTGCCCTGGCTTTGAGCGTGCGCTTTGAAGTGCTGGGTTCCGGACCTCGGCCCTTTCCAGAGGTCAGTCTGCATTTGCTGTTCGAAGGCTTGCTTTGGAAGATGTCTTCCTCTGCGCTGTTGCTGCCGGTGCTGCGGTTGCTTTGGTGGTCTTCTTTGGAGTCTAACGTAAGGCTACGTAGAGGTGAGAGGAGCGAATTCACATGTTGGAGTTTCAATGCTCTGCTCCTTCTATTGGCACCGCCGTGGATGCCGGTCTTAGGTGGGCCTTCAGGCGCTGCTCTTGATCCAGATATCAAAGACTGGGATTCGAGATATGCAACGTCGTCTTTGTCTTGCAGTGGAAACGCACCAATGCTTCGCTTGATAGGTGACACGGTGTTCTCTTGCTTTGCTGGGGACCTCCGTCGTTGCTGCATAGTTTGCCTTGACGACTTGCTGCTGGTGATGGTTGTCGTTGTCGTGCTCGCTGAGGTTGCAGATGCTGTTGGTACGAGGGAGGGTGTTGCGCCGAGGACCAAGCTCGAGCTGCTGGTTCTTGGTAGCATAGCGGTTGATTGAGGCCCTGAAATACTGTCGCCTGTCTCCACCAACTGTTTGGTTCGACTTTCTTTCCTGCTGGCTGAAGACGTGGACATCTTCGCCGAGACTCCGCCCTGCTTCTTCTTGTTTGGTGATAACAACCTCTCTCCCTGTTCCCTTCCTTTCCTTCCTTCCTCGGTCGGAGGAGCCGTGCATCCCAACAACGTAGAGAGTTCCGGTAACTCATCATTATCATCACCCTCCACTTCTCCCTCCTCTTCACCATGATGCTTTGGACGTGAATGCTCTGCGTACGGAGCACCAACTAGATTTGTCCCTCCTCGCCCGGCTGCTCCCGGCCGCTTCTTCCTCGGACTGGTCCGCACCGCCATACTTTTCATAGCTGTGGGGTTCGCTCCTTTCCTTGAGATCGTCCGTGGACCAGCTTCTTCGGCGTCTCTTCTTGAACAGCACAGCTCGCAAATCTGATGCCTCAATCCCTCGATGACAACGCTAGCTCAGTCCTAACCGACCGGTAGCTACCCCTTCGTTTTATTCCCTGCGTGTCGTTCCTATCTCGTTTCGTGTCGTCTAGTCACGCAACCAATTGATGTTTATTCTCATTCTCGTAAAGAGAATAGTACGTCACAACGCTCGTTTCCGGGGCAACGGGTGCTCAGAACGGTACCCTTTGACGCCGCTTTTGGTGGCTCCTGTACCCCGTAGACCCACGTGACAGTGAGCCATTTCATCTGGCTCGTACTGTCGAATGCTACGAAATCTGCTTCCCCAACCAGCAAAAATACCTGCAGTCTCTTTTGCAGGCCCAGAATATCGCAAGCCCAAAATAGCTTCTCATGACTTATGCGCGCTGGGTCTTTCAAAGACGGCTGTCTCTGCAGTATCATTACATAGGCCTCTTCAGCTAAAAAATATGGGCCCGCTTCACTGAATTGTTTTGAGCTGAACTGTTTTACTACAATTGTTGCTGGGCTGAATTGTATTACTACAATCGCGACTACTCCCGAATTCTTTCATTTCAAACCGAAATATTACAAGTTGTAGTGGGCTGAATTAGTAGGTTACATTGCGAAGGAGGCCATCCTTTTTTTCGTTCAGAATGCTTCGGAAAAAGGTAAACCATGCACTCGGATCTTTCCTATTAGCCCCATTAGCACGTTTTTTGAATGAACAGCTGGATGCCGATTCCAGAAGCGTTGAAGCCATCTCTTCCCCAACCTGTAGGTTTCCTCCAATTTTCTAAGCCACCACTCCGGCCATTTCTCGAATCATATCATGACTAGGAGCGTGTCCTGTGGCTTCAAAGTTCAGAATCCATTGAACAAGCCGTTTTTCTTGTTCAGACGAGAGTAACTATTGCGTAACGCGTGCTTCTCGCTTGTTAATGCCTTGGTCTCTGCGATTTCGAAGGATGGCCGTGCAGAGGCCGTGACACCGGGCTGCAGCCGCAAGGGAGAGGTTAGGGTTTGCAGATAATTCGTCCAGTGCTGTATTTCAAAGGGAGTCTCTGTAGCTTGTAATTTGATGGTGATATGTTGGGGCATAAAATGTTAGAAATCTGGTTGTACGCGACGCGTAAAACTGTCAATTAGAGGGTGGCAGTTACAGGGGTATTTGACTTAGCTGTATGAGAGAGATACAAAGAAGTGATCCTACTGTAAGACCTTCCAGCCGGTTGAGTGCGCAGGATCTAAGCTGGCTACGGAGCTCAATTTACAGGATTGCTAGTAGCCCAATGCCAAGGGCTGGAGGGCCAAGTGCAAGTTCAAGACTGCATCATTTCGCACTCACATCAGAATTTGCGCCTTATGATCCTCAACAGTCAAGCTTAAACTTAAGTGTTGTGGACCATACTACTGCTCTTTTCAGGTGGATAGAATAATGTGCGAACCTAACATAAGCCAGGGCAATTTGAAAGCGAGGCACATCACCTTTCCAGAGCACATTTCATGAACAGCGGCTAAGCAAAATTTGGTCCAAGACTGCAGCTACTTTTATTACAGTAGTCTCTCAACTTGGTCCGCACCATCTTCGTGAATACTTGATTTCATCCTCCGACATATCTGCTATAGTCGACTACATAATACGAGTTATGTGTTTCCGCAAACCGTGCTAGCATCATGACTCCCAGAGAATCAACAAAAGAAGTAAAAACATCAGGATTCGAGCCCACCAACTTGTGCGAAGCCTGCAAAAATCTGATACTTGACGATAGGAAGATTGTTGAGAACGCTGGAGCCCGCCTCAAAAATATTCAGCCATTAAATGAGGTTTTTGGCTTTAACAAACTAAATTTTAGGGGTGTGCCAGGAGCCAATGTCATCGTCGATACTCTGGATTTCCACCAATATGACGAGCTCCCACATTTGCCCAGACTGGCCGCATCTGCTGAAGCGGGATGCCACTTCTGTGCTTTTCTCAGAACAGCGATATCTAATCAGTACCCTATGAGCGACAGCGACTGCAATGACGCCAGGATGGAGATAGCGTTCCATTACATATGGCAACGGAGTAAGCAAGCGCAAATGTTGGGTAGTAGCTTGGGGATATGGTTGAGAGCTCTCGTAGTGGACTTAACAATTTCATTGCATTCAGGAGTCTTGGGATTTGAGAAGATAATCTTTCTAACAGAAGCTCCACCAGGTACGTCAGCAGAAGCTCCATCTAAACTGATTCAAGGTCTACGTTCTCACCACATAACATCAGGGGACTGTGCAGATTGGCTGCAACTTACTAAGGCCCCATGGCCTAATAGTCTTTGTCAGGAGAATATCTCCATGATGAAAAAGGAAATAGACACTTGTGTCAAATTTTGTTCTTGCGAAACCATTGGAGATGAAGTATCATTTTTGCCTACAAGGCTAATTAACTTGAAAGATCCAGAAAATCCACGTCTAGTTATTGTCAAAGGTCATTCTCCGCGAAATAATTTCAACTACAGGAAAGTCAAATATGCGGCTCTAAGCTATTGCTGGGGTCCCCCAGAAGATGCAGAGTCGATGCTAAAGACCACTAAAGAATCTCTGCAGAGCAGGCTCTCCGGTATTGTAAAGGGTGAAATGCCTCTGGTCTTTCGGGATGCAATCTCAGTATGCGAGAAATTGGCTATCCCTTACCTGTGGATCGATGCACTTTGCATTGTTCAAGATGACGAAAAAGAATGGCAACAAGAAGCATCTCAAATGGGCAAGGTCTATGAGAATGCTTTTGTTACTATCGTTCCCTCTGCCTCAGATTCTTGCAAAGAAGGCTTTGTTCAGCGTTCTCGAAAGACACTTGAAGTGCCATTTAGGTCGACTATTCGACAAGAAATACACGGAGAATATTATCTGCGACAAGTTACAAGCCTGGACTTGGATTTACATTTGGCTCAGTATAAATACTACTTGGAAGACAACTTTACTCGCTGGGACTCACGTGGCTGGACATTTCAGGAAAAAGCTCTAAGCAGAAGGATTCTCAAATTTGGACCGTCAATGGTTTCTTATGATTGTCCTAAATGGCGCCGCTCGGAGATGGAAGATAAAAGACGCGAGAGCTCCGGGGGATGGTCCAAACCACCGGTTTTGAGCTTAACTGCGCCTGAGTCTTACACAGCTTGGAATGATATTACAGGAAATTTTGCTAAACGACACTTTCGATATCGAAAGGACATATTTCCAGCAATATCAGATATGGCCCAGCGCTTTGCTAAAGCGAACAAGGATAAGTATGTTGCTGGGTTATGGCGCGGGGACTTATTCCGGGGGCTTTTATGAAACATTAACCCCGAAACCATGTGGGAAGACCTTCTCATCAATTTGGCTAGATCGGATCCATACATTGCCCCTTCCTGGAGCTGGGCGAGTCGAGCGTCTCATATGGAACGAGGCGTGCCAGGATATTCTCAAGCCCAATGGACTGACGGAATGGTATCAGAATGCACAATCATCACTATAAATATTGACCTCGCCGGTTCTGATCCCTTTGGTGCGATACGAAGCGCAAAGCTATCTTTATTGGGAAAGCTAGCACCGCTTCCTTTCATGCTGCCGCAACACGGATACTATGGTTGCACTCCCCACCCAATATGGGAGATATCAACTAGATCTACGTTATTTGGTGTCTGTACTTTGGATTGGATCACTCATGGTGAAGAAAGATTGCAGGTACCTGACTGCCGAATGATGATGTTGCTCATTGCAAGCTGGCGCAAAGACTTTAGTAAGGATGCCGGTCAGTTCGAGAACTGTGCATATGGCCTCATTCTACTTCCGACCGACAAGAACGAAAATGAATATTATCGCGTGGGAATCTTCCACTTCGGCCAAGGCGGAAAATTCTCAAACGATCCGCCCTGGAATAATAGATTCTTCAGAAGCCGAAATTTACAGACAATCCATCTTATCTAGTCACACCTCAAATGGCTAGATTGAGTCGATCTCTGTCTGACGCTGCTGCCTCTTGCCATCATGCCGAGAAGGGAGGACCCTTTACCACTTCACCATCAACTCATGGCTCGTTCGTGTTGCAATAGCGACGGTATTGGCGCTCGTTTTCTGGTGGGGCTTCATAGGCTCGCATGTGTTGACCGGCGATCACGTGACTCCGAATATCACACGGCTTGAACGTCAGAGAAGATCGGAGAATGTAGCGCCCGGTTCCGAAAACCCGCGGGATTCTCCGTTGAGTTTCTATTTCCTATTCTAGCTGATTTTCTATGTATCTTCATCCTTCAATGTACCCTCTACCCTATCCTACTCCTTGCGCCGTGTGGCATCGGCGCTCTCACACTCCCCTTGCTGATGACGGAGTTTTCTGACGTTCTTTGACATTCTCGGACGGCTCTGACGTCGAGAGAGATGGGACGATAACTTTGATCTGCTGCGATTTTCCTGCGAATATACTGAGATGGGGAATTGCTCACTCTCGAATGTCGTATGTGGCTTTTTGAGGATGATGTCTAGGGCAGCTCTTGAGATGCCCTCGAACGGGTATATATGGCCACTCGTTTTGCCCAAGTAGATAGAGGAATCAGAGGAGTTGAATCAATCAAATCTGCACCCTTGTAAATAGCATGATAGGCGGCCTGAGTCTTCGAAGTTAGCTCACCTAGATTAGCGATTTGCTCAGGGAAGGCATCGTGACGTTCTGGCGGCGTTGTCCCCCTCCCCACCCCAACCCAAGACGAGGATTACCTAATCTTGCCAGCGGGATATCCGTAGAACTAGACTGAAGGATGTCTTATTTAGCAGACCTTGGTAGGCTGGTGGCCCCTCTTTCGGACGGAGCTGGCAGGGACGGGACGGGAGAAGTCAACTGCATTGGGAGGACTGGGTGGACGCCCCATTGATCAATACGATGCAAGGATCTCAACTCGGGCTGTTCTCAAGGCGCACGACGGGCTGTGAATTTTGATTTTCGTACGAGTTACTGTACTATAAACGCAGCATCCCAAATGTAGGCGAGTCCTTTTCAAGAAATACGATCCTGTTCAGCGTCCATGGCCACAGCCCCATGTATGACATTGTGACACTGGGACACCGTCCGCCGAATGGCATCGCTGTCGGGAGAGCGCATGAGGGCCCGCACGCCCACCAACATACGTAGTAAGTCTGCGCCTGCTCGATGAATCTTTGAGGCGTGAGTCATGCTGTGAGAACGGGGAGACAAGACAACGCCTGTATAACGCGGGTAAGTTCAAAAACACTGGCGGGCAGCTGTATTCAATGCGGCAATCTGTGGCCTTGATGCCCTCCTTCAATCTTCACAACCTTTACGTACTTATTATGCTTGGCATCCACGCGTACTATCAGATTGCTCCTTCTTCGCGCTCAACTGAGGCCATGCCATGTCCATGGAGGCGCAGGGGCAACGCCAAGAGAACTGTTCTGAAAGCATCCTCGTGAGACAGAGTTTTTAACGTTTGCAGCATGCCAGGATTGAGGGATCCGGTAAGTATCCTGCAAGTTATTGCCTGTGACTCGCCGGACTGAGGTATGAGACGGCTTTTAATCAGGCGATTTCAATCGACTATGTTGGCAATTTGCCTTGTAGCTTTCGTCTGAAGCTAAATTTCGAACATTTCGTGACAAGAGCTTTTGGAAATGGACTGAGACGGAGAATGGACTGGTGTGAAGAACGGACTGGTATGGAGAACGGACTGGTACGGAGAACGGACCGGTACGGAGAACGGACCGATACAAAGAGTGGACTGGTACGAAACCTTTTTACGTTGTGTAGTCAAGGGACTCTGAGATAGGTCATGGGATGCGATTTCTCTCTTTTGACACTCTCTGGTGAAGGAGAAGGAGAAGAAGGAGAAGAGAGTTGGGTCTGGGTTGGTGGAGGGGTTTCGGTTATGTGACGCAGCGCTTTGGTGCAGGGTGTGAGAGAAGATTCTATAATGTATCGCAAGGGAGATAAGTGGATGGCGATGGTGATGTTCCTTGCGAGGGAGGAGGGAGGAGGGAGGATGATGGGCCCTAAGTCAGGGTGCTACAATGCAGTCAGAGCTCAAGTCGATAAATGCTATACAGCTAATTCTCATCTGAGTCTCCAGTACTCCGTACCTGCCACTGTATTTTCACCACATCCTGGATTAAGGAGCCGAGCGGAATATAACGAGTATAATATTCATCCGCCTCTCTCGCCAAACTCTCTAGCCCAATCTTCATATGCCTTCAAGCCGGCCTTACTCACACTGGGCCTGATATTCTCCAGACTGGCTTCAAAGTCCTCGAATCGGATCGGTCTGATCTGATCCATCGGAGTATAGAGCAAGGCCTCGCCGAGCTTCCGCAGGGGTCCCATCGCCGCATCTTTGGCTAAGGCCGTGATATCGGAGCCGGAGAAACCTGGTCATTCATACGCATATAGTCAGCTTCAAGGCGTGTACCTAGCTAGTGGGCAAGGTAAGGGGAGGATAACCTCACCTTCAGTAACCTGCGTCAACACCTCAATATCCGCCTCACTCAGCTCATGCTTCTGATGACCCAGCAATGTCCCGATCTGAATCCTCCTCGTCTCCGCTTCCGGAAGCGGGATATACTGTCTTCTGACAAAGCGTCTCCGAGCAGCCTCATCAATATCCCAGGGCATGTTCGTAGCTGCGAGCACAAGGACCCTGGTCGGGTCACCATCTCCACCTTTACCGCTCATTGCTTTCTCCTTTCCAGCAGCAGCCTTTTGAAGGTCACTCCACTGGATCAAAAACTCGGTTTTACTTCTCCTACTGGCCTCATGCTCGCTACCTCCACCGCCTCCCCTGGTTCCAAGCAGTGAATCGATCTCGTCAACGAAGATAATGCTGGGAGCCATCCTTCGCGCAATGGCAAACAGCGCTCGCACCAATTTCTCACTCTCTCCATGCCATTTACTTGTCAGGCTTGATGCGCTGATGGCGAAAAATGTGGACTTAGACTCCGTCGCCACTGCTCTTGCTAACATTGTCTTTCCCGTTCCTGGTGGACCGAATAACAGCATTCCTCTAGCCGGTTCACGTAATCCCATGAAAAGATCGGGACGGAGGAAAGGGTAAACAACCGCTTCTTTGAGTGCCTTCTTCGCGGCATCGAGGCCTGCTACATCGGACCAGTGTACCTCATCGCCATGAACTATGACTTCGTTCAGGATTTGTGTCGCGGTGACGAGGTCAACATTTTTGGGCAGATTAGCAAGAACAGCTGTCTTGCGACGTTCAAACGCGATGTCCTCGGGGCTTTCTTCTTGCTCGTGGTCTTCAGTAGCTTCGGACGATGACGGAGGGGTTGGTGACTGGTTGGGGCTTTCTCTGTGGTCTGCATGACGAGTACGACGCATTTTGGCTATATTGATGGGTCGTCGTTGATGATGCGAGGCCGCCTCCTCCCCACTTCCAGAAGAAGTTTCAGTCATGGTTCGATTTCTGCCAGATCTTGGGGTTGACGAGTTGGGGAGCGGTTTGCGCGACACGGGTGGTGGTGGTGGTGCTTCTGCTTTATCTGGAGACCTCTGTTGAGCACTAGAAGCCATGCTATTTGCAGTCGACGGCGGGGGCGACTTCAGAGTGGATATAGGGAACTCCTTCCTATACGATATCTCAGGTGGCTTGGTAAGTTTCGTAGGAATTCTGGGCGACAATCTCGACTCTGTGGACTGTATAGGAACGTCATATGGAGGATTGAGCGGTGCTGATTCGACTTCATGATTGGTTGTTCGTGATTCTCTTTCTGGAGCAACATTGACGTTCTCAGGCTGCTCCTGGAGCGGTGTTGTGGCACCCTGGTGCATATCTCTCCAACTGGCCGTTGGTATATGGTCTCCAGGATCCGAAGCTTGGGCAGCGTTGTTTCGCTTCAGCTCGTCCTCACTGGAAGTGATCCCTAACTGGTCTAGGCTTCTCCTAGAAGCTGTAGCTTCCACCCTTGATTGTATGGTATGGTCATGCGGATTCTGTTTTTGCAAAGCCTGAGCTATCTGGGCACCAGACATCCGCGAAGTTGTATCCCATGCCAACCCAGCCGCTTTCAACGGCGCTGGTCCCTGTGATCCAACTCTTGTTGTTCGCGGCTTGGACGATTTTCTATCGCCTGATCGCAAAGTTGTCAACATAGTTTTCTTATGCTTGTGATCGGGACTTGGACTCCGAGACGTCTTCTTTACAGGTACTGGCAATGTAGGCGGGGTGGGTAGTGGAGAGGAGTATAGTGGCGGCGGATTTGGCGAACGTGAAGCCATGCTTTCTGAACTCTGTCTGGTGAAGAATGATGGTCTTGGAGGAAGGGCAGGTGGCCTCGATAGATCTGGATACTGGACAGGTGGTATACTGCCTTCGCCGATCCATCCTGGAGTAGGAGTCTTGTTCGTCACTGTCTCTTTTCCTTTTTCTAACTTTCGAGCCTCTTTGGCTGCTTCTTTTTCCGCCCTTGCTTGCTCTTTTCGACTTCGCTTCAACGCTTCCAGGAGATCTACTCGCTCCTTGCATTGGATCTCTAATTGTTTCAAGGAATCTTGCAGAGCCTTTTCCGTCTCAGATCTGGGAACATAATTTGTTGGCAGTTTATAGGCGTTATGATAGTATATCTGGTCGAGGGCTGAGCGCCATGACCGCAATGCTTCAGCTTCGTTATTCTAGTACAAATCTCAGCGGCTAGATTTTCAGTGTAGTGGTGAGGTCGTCTACCTGTCCCTCGAAATAAACGGCAGTCGAACATATCAGATAGCATTCATCGTACGTCTTCTGCATAGACGAACCAGGCTTGTTGCGCATCATGACCTCTGAGGTGATATCGAGGTCTATCCATCAACGGACTGCTTACAGGACGTTTTGTGCACCCAAGCACTTCTTCAAATCTCCAGTGCAATGGGCAAGTCAACCAGCCTCGTTCCCACCAGGCATGTGACGTAGATCGCCAACGCTGTGAACCAGTCGAAGGAAACAAGACGTTGCTGTGTGTCTGCTAAAGAAAGAGGAAGGCGATTGCTCCCGTTTATGAATCACTAGACGTTGTCCAAGTACTCTAAGGAGTAAGTAACTCATGAACAACAAAGCAAGTTAACTCCAGCTGCGGTGCTTCCCCCGGAGCCCCCAAAATTACAGCAATGACAGTGCCAAGGTGAGAACCCTTGATCTGCCCGCCCAGCGGCCGCTCGCCTGAAATTGTGACTGATTGCACAGAAGCTCAAAGGTTCCTCTACTAACCCCGCGGCCTTCATGACCAACCAAACCCTCTCAACCTCAACCCTGATGGATGTGATTCTGAAATTGCTCGACATCATCTGTGAATCACAGCAGCGAACCTGCCGATACAGCGGAGCTTTCTAACATGCGCACATAAGGCTGTAGCTAGGTCTGGCACCGCTAGCCACCATTTCCATTTCCATTTCTTGATATCAGCCACAGTTGCAAACACGTCTTGCATGATGATAGATCACAGGTCCAAACCTACGGCACAGAAGTCATAGACGTGGGATCATATACATTAGGGTGTGATCTACCTTGGAGGAGACCGCCTGGGTGTCCACTCGAACAGAAGGTGCACCGTCATGGTGTCTGCCCTCTCAAGCACTCTATGCAAAGGAAATCCACCCCAAGCAATCAGCTCGTAAGCCGTGATGATGCGGTCAAGTTGACCCATCTTTCAACATCAATCAGTAGACTGCGCTACACAATGACAAGCCCCAAAGGTCTGATGCCCGGTTCTGCGACGAGGTGCTGACGCCTGCCTTGACGTGGCCGTGTGCTGGTCAGCTGGTGGTGGTGGAGGGGCGTCGGTAGCTAATGAAACTGGGAAAGCGTTTTCGGGGGGTACCGATATCATGCTTCGTGCTGCGAAGGTTTGGTAGTCGATTTCGGAACTCGCTCAATTGTTACCACGACGCCGCGTAGGACTCGGATTCTCGGTATCGCTTAAAGTACGCCTTCGCCATCTCGTATGACGTCCTGTTGGATGTCAGCATGCCAGTTGAGACACGAGCAGGGCCAACACACCAGCATATGGCCGTGCTCGGCATCGTTGTGATGATTCGTGGTCTTAGACCTCTGAAGAAGCCTGACCACCCATACTGACTTCTGATGATCTTGGCACCATTGAACAAACCTCTTACGTTCCTCACCTCGGCCTCCTGGCTCAGGCCTCTTGTCTGAAGTAATGTTTTGATAACATCCAATGGTGTTGTTATGCCGGCAGCGAACGCCCCAGCGAGTCCACCAGCCATACAGTGCGTAAATGGATCGTACTCTTTTTGAGGATTCATAAACTTCGATAGCGACTCATATGCCATGAACTGGGTGGCGGTAAATGGAATGGTCATGCACAATGTGGTAGGATAGGAGACGTAGAAAGCGGTTAGTCCTTCGGTGCGATAGAGAGACCGTGCGCAGTGAGATATTGAGCGGTAAGTTGATCCATGGACCTGCATTCGTTGCTTGATGACTGGATAGTAGGGTCAGATTGAGCTTACCGGATGACGGATAGAATTTCTTACCGTCGAAAGGGTTCATGAGAGCATCGCTAGATATTGTTGCGCAAGCCCCACTAAGAGCTGGGATCAGGTTAGCAAGATCACTCGGTCCAAAGTAATAGTCAGAGAGCTCCGCATACCTGCTGCAAAAGGATGATGATGATCATCTTTGTTCCCGCCTGCAAATTCCTTGACGGCTTCATATGTGCCAAAGTATACCGCGTGTGCAGGTCCTGTACTGCGGATCAACCGCCCGTCCGGTCAACGCGCCATAGACATGTCTCACCGGCACCAACAATAACACTGGACACCCCTCTCCATAAGGTCCGTATGCCCTCGATTCTGTATATCGTAGAAACCGCATTGGTCAATCCTGTGTAAAGACCACCGGCGGAAGGGTTGATGATCTGCATTCGAGTCTGTGTCGATTCTCAGCTTTGAACAGTTGGGCCTCGACCAGCATGACCAACACACCTTCAACAAATCCACCGGGTACATCACCGAATGTTCCTGACATGAATTAGCCCTGGGAATAATAGTCTTGATGGTGGAGCGCGTGGCATACCGCAATGCCGGCGAATGCGCCTGCCAGCATGTTGTGCCCAAGGGTATAGTCTGGAGGAAGTCCTTCATAGCTGCCCAAGTGTCAGACCTAGTTGTCTCGATCTTGAGACTCGATTGCCCGTACTCATATTCTTCAACTGGTGCAGGTACCGCGTTATGCTTCGACATCTCCGTGGGCAAAACCCCGGGAATCTTCGCTACGGACGCCACTTCGCCAGCTGGAAATTGTAGGCTTTTTCTTGCTTTCCACAGATGAGACGAGGGTTTGTGGTCAAGGCACTGCCATATTGAAAGCAAGTTACAAGTGGAACAAATAAATCGTTGCGATAAACGAATACACTATATTCTGGGATCGAGGCCGATAAAATCTTAAGATGGATGCAAATCATGACGCTCGGCGGTTGGACCGCCATGGAAATTCTGTCCGGGCCCCCGAGCCTACTCAATGACAGCACCAATCCAGCTAAGAACACATAGAATGCCAGATCTCCATCTCCTGCCAGCCTGTTTCACAACAGACATCGCTTGTTGTACATTGCACAACTAGTTAGAATCAATAGCAACCCACTCAACTCGCCATTGGCCCACAAGGCGTTTGTACGATCAAGCTTGCAAGCATGCCAACGGGACTTGCCCGATCAGGACACTCACCGTCAAAACTGTCAAGGGTTTCTAAGCCCTGGTGTTCGAGAGTACCTGACTGCCATCTATGTGAAAAACGGTTGCATACAGGTACGAAAACCTCCAGGAAAACACCTGTCGCTGTGCATTAACCTAGACTTCACGCTATCCCGTAGTTGTAAGGATACCGAAAGATGCCTGCTCCGTGCATCATCACCGCATAGGTACGTTGAATCATCATACCTTGACGTTGAAAGACCATACTCCTGTGATATTGTTAGAGGGTTTGGCGAGGCTATGGAAGAACTCACCATTCTTCAGGTTTTCCGCAGTATCACTCAGCAAAATCACGCGTCTTTTGGTGCAATAGGCCGTCTTGTCCAGGATATCGACCTTCAGATCGGCAAGCTCTGGGATAGGCTTCTCGAACATCTGACTGAGGTTCTCCACCGCCAATTCCAGGTCCTTCTGATTGTCTTCGAAGATGGCAGTCAGGTTGTTCCTGGCAAGATAAAAGGCGAAGGCATATGTCCACTTCAAGGTCTGCCGGCATTGTTGCAGTGCTTGAGAAGCGGTCTCCAGGAATTGCACCTCTATCCACGACATGCCAGATTGTGATTGCAGGCTCGTCATCTTCTTTTCCGTTTTCAAAAAGAGGTCTTTGTCCAGCTTGGCAGATTGCTCGTGGTTTGCATACCGGTTGTAATAGTGTAGGTATCTCTCTAGTGAATGTCTTGATTTGGCTTGTGCATCCCGGGCATCCGCTCCTGACTTCTCTTCGTAGCGGTTGCAGTTGTACCAGCTCGTGCCATGTTCCGACCAGAGGCCCATACACATCCAGCAAAACTCATGTTTGCATTTCCTGCATGTCATGTGGTTACAGCCGCCGTTCTTCTCTATGGTTGAGTTGCACTTTGGGCATTCTTTGGTATTGGCTGAGATCCAGTTCGATGTTTCGGAGTCGTCTTCGCATTTCTTCAACCACTTCTTGACCAGGGAACATGGCGGTGGCTGGTGATCTGGAAGGGTGCACCCAAAGCAGAAGCTATGCTTGCAGGCACAATGAACAGTGGGCACAACTGTCGATAGCTCTCTCTTCTTTATCCCACATTCAATAGCATATATACACTCGGGTGCTGGACACCATTTCAAACTATCCTTATCATCGACGTAGGTACGGGTCAGGAGCACTTCGTATCTGCCAAGTACTGTTAGTATTGCTCGGTCTTGGATTCGAGGACCACAAACCGGTTCTTGACCTCATCATTCACAAGTAGCTTTATTGTCTTCGAGTCTACTACCCGATGACAGCCATCTCTTGGACACTGTATCCTGGCAGCTTCTCCCTCCTCTTTGACCTTTTGCACTAAATAGCAGCTATAACAGTCCACGCAGTAACGATGACCACAAATCATAGCATAAGTCTCCAACCTTCGTCCATCTTCATAACAGATCTCACAGGTGAAACCCTTGACCCTTTCTGTCTTGGGAGTCATGGCGAACTGGGGTCCAAGTCCGGCCTCGTGCAGAAGTTCATCCGCTTTGTCCATGTATATCTCAATGAGTTTCTCCTTGTTCCAACGCATATACCGTAACAAAATAGCGACTGACTCTGGAGGAAGCCCCAGAATTTGACACACCTCGTCGATCTGCTTGTGCTGACTAGAGTGGATATCGGTGGGGCTAAGAACTCTAAATTCAACTTCGTAAGGTCTGCGGGTGGGCTTCATCGCTTCCTTGTCGTATGTGAAGCCAGGTTCATGATCGTCATCGAAGTCTATTCAACAAATCGTCAGTGTTGGTTATGCTTGATGACATGCCGTGCTGCAGAAAAACGTCTGGCCTACCTTGCCCTAGCAGGCTACCATTGTCGCTGTCTTGTGTGCCTTCATCAAAATCATCATCCTCCTGGCTCGTCACGTCACTAAGAAACTCGTCTTCAGACTCCATCACAGATACGACCGGCGAGCCTGGCTCGGTAAGCGGTGTAGCGGGCGTGTCCAATACTGGAGCCCTTTTGAGGGTTTTCGCTGTGCTGGCGTCAAAGCTGTCTTTCGCCTTCCTCTTTAGGGTTTGAGGACCCGTGGTGCAGTGTCACCGTGAGTACTGGGTCTCGAAGGAACGAGACCACAGCACTCGCCTACCGGAACCAAAAAAGGCGAGTGCGTGGATGTGGATTACTGTGGCGGCGGTGACGTAGCGGTGCAGAAGATTGGTAGAGAAGTTGACTGCTCACCGGGTCGAAGGGTGCATATGCAAGGCGAAGTGTGAAAGGGAGGCGAGGCGAGGCGAGGGGAGAAAGAACGAAAGAACGAGGTAGTAGATGAACGGGTGCGAGGGAACAGTAATGTGGTAGAGTAGGCGGCTGAACGGGAATGACCGCGAGTGACAAGGTGGTGGGTATGTAGTTAGTACTCCGTAGAGCCTGAGGTGCTCCAGAAGCCAAGGCGCAGAGTGGAAAGGCAGCACGGACCAGAGGACCACATTTCCCCATCGCCTACAAAATCCCCGCAAGGGGCAGGGGGGTGCCATGTTGGGTAGGCAAAAAAGAAGGTTCACCTCTCCACTATGGAACTTAATGACTTACTACACGCTGCGACATTCTACATTTGATGGCCAGCTCCACAAAGACACTAGCCTTTTTCTCCTCCGGCTCCCCTACTCCTCATCTTCTTCATCAACTTCTTCATCAACTTCTTCATCTTCAGTCTCGCTCTCGCTCTCGCTCTCCTCATCCGCGGCTGCCAACCAATCCAAAAACTGTCTACTGAATTCCTTGATACCTCGGAGCTCGTCGGTGCTCTCGGAACGCTCATCGGTCCACCAGTCACTGAAGACCTCCTCGTCGAATATGTCTTGGTCGTACAATTCCTTGGCAAGATGCAGGAGTATCTGTTCTCCTCCCTTCCTGTGAAGAAGATCTTTCTGGGCCTCAAGAAGAAAACCCACCCCGGCCGCTGTTGCTTCTTGACTTTGATCCCTCTGGATCAGGTTACCGTATCTAGCAAGAGACTGTTTCACAGCCACTGATATCTCGAAACTCTCCGCTTCCGCCTGACCCGAGATGTATTTCATCAGCGCGTTGACCACTGAGCGTCGCACCTGATCCTCCGTCGCGTTCTGCGCAAACCTCAAACCCATCAGTTCCACACGAACGTCGTCCTGATGGGTACCGATTTTCATCCTCTCGAAAAGACTGTGCACTGCTTCGTGATGAAAGCGGTCTGTACCGTCATCATCGGATCCTGTCGTTGCGAAGCTTTCGCTTCTTGAGCCACCATATCCAGAATGGACTTCCGAGTCCTGCGAATCAGTGCTTGCTAAGGACGAGTTTGACGCAGCAAATTCCTCTCTTTGGTATACTGAAACACGTAAGTACTCATGAGGGACAAGACCTGAGGTGCCCCTACCTAAGCCCACTGGTTTGATTTCATCGTCCTCTTCCTCTACGTAACAGTAGCCTTCTCCAGCATCGCCCACAAGGGCCTTGTCCGATGGTGTCGACCCGTTGTTGCTACTTCTTGCCTTTGTTATGCGGCTGCCACTTGGAATATGCCGTCCTTGATCAAGTCGAACACCGAACGATATCAATGCTCCTTCTCCGATTGAGCATCCCTTGCCAACAACAGCTTCGTCACCGATTATTGCGCGAAGGATCTTGACATCGTCCTCAACAACAGCGTAGTCCCAAATGTAGGCATGGCGGATATGGACATTGCGACCGATTTGACAGTGTCTTCCTATCACACTGTCCTGCACAACGCTCCTATCACCAATGCTCGCTCCCCGCCCAATGATTGAACATGGCTTGACTCGACAACTTCTAGCAAGTGTCACTCCATCTTCTTGGTAGACCCCTTGTCGAGAAAGCTTGTACTTGGCATCTACGTCCGGGCACGCCGGGAAAGTCCACCGGGAAGTTATCTCCCGGCTCATTGTGTCGTATGCTCCTAGATCACCTACCCGACTTGCGAAATAATCATTGACTATGTGTGTATGGATTGTCTTTCCATTCAGCTCGTAATCCTTGAGTACTCCGTGTAGAAAATCCTTCCGAGGCGACTGGTTGTCAAAGTTGTCGGACCAAAGGCTGAGCATTTCCGGGGTACATACGTCGATTCTGCAGTCAACTAGATCTTGTCGAATCTCTAGCTCCGCTTGCGACAGCAAGTTAGGATCGAATGCAAGACCCGATCCCCGACCCGGTCGGCTTTCTTCATAGTGCAGACATCGATCTTTGGTTGGATCCATGACGAAGGTGGGAATGATAGACCGCTGTCTAGATCGCTGTCGTGGCCCGATTTCTCGCAGTAGCATAGTCATGATGGCGTTCTTGTCCTTCTGCCGACGGGCTTTGTGCTTCGCCAGAGCTTCAGCGATGGGGAAGTTGCTAATTACATCGCCACTGACGGCAAGAAAATCTCCATTAACCAGACCCTTTTGATCGAGATCCCTCATCACATCACCCACCGAAGTGGCGGCAGACTTGAGGAACGTAAACTTCTTGAATGGAGAACTCTTCAGTCTCCATTTTGATTCGTCGATGTACTTCTCAACTTGATCCGTATGTGAACCTGCAGAGAAGAAGATTTCCTGGACCCCAGACTGTGCAAGAAAATCAAGGGTGTACTCAATTATCGGAGCATTTGCAAGTGGAAGTAGACACCTTGGCCGCTCAAGGGTGAATGGCGCGAACTTGGTCTCAAACGTGTCAGCAATGACCACGGCTTGCAGAACATCTTCTTTCTCGTCGCCTTGAGATTTGCCCTTGGAGCTTGAGGACTTTGGTGGCTTCGGAGCCATTTGCTTGTAAAGCTCCAAAGTATGTCTTCTCCGGTAGCTAAACGACTGCTCGAAATTTAAAGACGAAGAAGGATACACATCAAGAGCCTATTTTGACGTCATCAGACATGGCATAACAGTATCTAGAGATTGGAAGGTAAATAATAAAAATAAAGAACGTGCATTAAGGAATTATCAACAGCAAATCCCAGTGAGTACTGAAATATTCTAGAAACCCGGCTAACCAGATTTGAATTTTCTATGTATTGCTGTTGGAGGCATGAGTATTGTCCAGCTTTGAGCTACAAATAATGTAATGAGCTAGTATTGGCTCACGCCTGCAATACTGATACGTTCTGTTGTAGAAAAGCCATGAAGATATGATGAGAGTACCTTAGGCTACCACCTCAGAAGGTCTTGAGAGTGTCAGTGTCATGGTTCGTGATACTGAGATATAAGTTTAGCTACAATGAAACGATGGGTTGTGGATTTGATGTTCTTCTGCCCCCGTCCTGGCTTTCGCCTCGTCCCAACCTATTCCAGGCCAAACCGTTCCATTGCTCGATATCTCTGGGGCCGTACAAAATATGTATACAAGCACTATCTGACTGGGGGCTTAGTCCCTGTCGTATCTTGGATGTCATTAGAAAGGCAGATATATCACTACGCTTTCGAGTGACATTTCGAGAAGACTTGGTCTCATATCATACACCGTCGTCCTCGACCATATGCTCGCCAGTTCGCTTCAATTATCCTGATCGTCAACCAGATCCTCCACAAAGTCATCCAGCTGAACCCACTGGAACATGTCTCCCCATCTTGCTCGGAACTCTTTATGCTGGTATACCCCACTTGTGTTCATTTTGAAACTGCAAAGTTCGACTGCCCAGCCCCTATTCAAAGCTCGCTCAACCATTTTCATGAACCCGTCTCCATACTCGCTTCGTTTTCCGTCACCTGTACCCAAAACTATGGTGCTTGGTCTGTCACCATCTATCAGGCTTTCGAGAATCTTCAAATGTAGGATCTCATCTACGGCCTGCTCGACCCACTTTTCTGGTCCACCTGGCGTTTCAGAACCGCTAGAGGGCGCTGACATGCCGCCTTTGTTATGATTTGTCTTTGCACGTCCTGTCACATCCTTTGCCTTTCGGACCCTTTCCAGTACATTCACCTCATACCCAATCCGCCCGGCTTGCTGAATAGTAGGAAATTTGTCGGATCCGACCAAGACTCGCTTAGCGGCTGGACGACCTCGTTCAAGGACGAGTGATAAACTATGAAAAGACATTGGAACTCGTCGAACGCGTGTAGAGACGGGAATATCACGCGAGAGCTTCAGACAATCGTGAAAGCCAATCATGATCTGTACGTTTCATCAGCACAACTAGCAGGCCATTAGGAGGCGGAGACGAACATTTGAAATGTCAACAAAAACATGTACACCAATATCGGAAGTGTTAAGAGGTATGAATTCGGGATGGATGAGACCCTTATTTTTCAGGTACTTGCCCTCTGAAGGATAACGTTCTGCTAGTCGAGCTATGAGCTTGGATCTTCTTTGCTCTTGAGATAGACCGCCTAAAGGCAGGAGTTGAGACCGACTAGAGCCAGAGTTTGTTGACGCGGACCACTGGAATGGATTGGAGATAGGCCAGTCTTTCTTCAGCACACGCAGGCTCTGCTTAGGAGGGGAGGGAGACGTCGGAGGTGAGGGCAGATCAACAGCATCCTTACTACTCCGTTGAAGAATTTCCTGTATCACCGCTCTCCTGTCGGGTGAGCGACATAGACGTCTTAACTCTTCACCTGAATCGTCTTCATTAAAGCTGGCGCTGTCGGACCCATTTTCATAGGAATTGATCTGCGTCGAAGTTGCCTTTTCTGCACGCTGTTTCGCCCGTGAACGCCTTGCCGCACGCTTCCTTGTTCTTGTTGAGGCGACGTAGGTGGAATCAACATTGTCCTCTAGATCTGCTCCCGAAACCTCATCCCGCCATCTGACTTCCTTCGCCACACGCTCAGCGTCCTGCTCGAAAGACTTTCCCTCATCTGCATTTCCACCATTACGAGGCAGTGACAGGTATTCCCATATTCTGCTAAAGTTTCCCAAGCTCAATTCCTCATCGTCAGCTTGGCTAAGCACCAGTGGGGGATCTGAAAAGGCGGATCGCTCCGGTGGACGCGGTGTTGTCGAAATACTGTTCTTCGGCTCGCAGTGAGAAAGTGTCTTCAGAAGATCGATTGCAGGGCTGAGATCCCAGGCTAGAGTCTCAGAAGGTGACTGCATGGAATGGAGTGCAGAGGTGATGCAGCCGCCACAGTATACTTAGTTACTCTTGGCCAGTAGAGCGAAAGGCAAGAATTAAGATGGGCAACAAAGAGTGATACATGATTTCCGAGAAAGAACGATAATGAGCAAAGCCAGAGAAAGTCACTCCAGATCGCCAGCTTCTATGACGAAGCAGACTGAGGCTTAGTTGGTAGTAGTTACAGATTAAGCACCACAAATGTCACAAGTGCAGCCCTGCGGGACTCGGAGAGCTCAAGGCGCCGCTTGTGCCTGCTTGTGTCTGCACAGGGATTGCCAAGCCCACACTTGCAGCACGCCACGCAGGAAGAGGCCCTCTGAAAGTTATGCCTATAATATGATCTCGTTGGGATAGAGATATGTAATCAAGACATCTACAACCTAACCAAATTATGTTCTTTCAAACATCTTTTTTTATAATTATGACCGCATGATCGGTAGATTGTGGTCACCTGATTGATGCTCTTAGAATTGACAAAACATCTATTAATTTGCTAAAGGACCAATAATGCATCATTTTCAGAGCCCTTCTCCAGGCAAGCGGCTGATAAAGAGCCAGGTTTTTGTTAGGGCCGGAGAGACCCTTGCATAGAATGATTTCGCCTATATATGCTTCCAGGTATACATATATTAATCTAGGAGTACCTGCTGCCCAAACGGACGGCTAGTGGAAGTTGGACGGTCATGAATACAACCCTAGAATGCTCTATGCATTAAAACTTCAATAATGCAAGCGCTTATCCGCTCCTTATCTCATGCTGCTGCCCTCCCCTCCACTTGGGCTTTTTGAAACTGCCTGATCATTCCGAGGACTCCACCAGCTCCCCTATCACCAATAACCGCGTCGACATCCTCCTCTTCCTCACTGCCCGCATCATCCTGTTCCATTTTCCACGAGCCCAGGTTCCCGTCGCCTGAAATCTCCACGTCTTGATGAGGGCCTTCATGCACGCCTGGTTCCTGCTCTTCGTCCTCGTCGAGCTCCGCGGCTTTGGGGACACGATGAGGCTTGGACTCTCTCCGACGACCCCGGGGAATTGCAAAGGATTGGCCGTAACCGGAAGCAGGGGGCTGATGATGTGGGTCTAGAAGAATGGACGTAAGAGGAGAAGTAATTTCGTTCGCGGCTCCAGTCGCGAGCTCGACACCAGCTCCACTCTTTGGTGTGGAAGCAGTGGCTAAGTCATGGCCCAATGCATTGCGCGATGGGCGACGACATACCGCCGACCTGTCAGAATTATCTTGACGAGCAGCCGTGAAAGCTTGGCTCTTGCCTCCTATTGGTAAGGTAGGTGACAATGGTCCTGGGAAAGGTGGCGGAGGATTGAAACGACGCCGAGTGCTGGCGTACGGAAAACGAATATCCGTCTTCGGATTTCGAGCATAGTCATTCATAAAGCCCCAATATGAAGCCTCGAGTTTCTGATCCTTTGTGGCATAATAATCCTCCCGCAGAGTTTGCAAGGGTGCATTGGCGCCAGTTGTAAATCCTGTCTGGGCCTTCTGCGAAGGAGGTGGCACATTCTGCGTGGCGTTTCCATGCTTCTTGAAATTGAACTCAGCAAACGAGCAAATATAGCCAAGACCATCAACATGGACCGTGAATTCTCGAAAGAAGTCAATTATGCGGTCACTACAATCAGGTAAGGTAAACCAGAGCACAAATGGGGTGAATATCATGCTCAGGATCTCCTCAAGGAAAATCAAGAGCTTCGGCTGGTAGAGTGTAGCAAACTCTTTGCGAACCTGATCGCTATGAAGTCGACCTTCCCAGTGCGCTGGCTTGTAGTGCGTAAATTCAATGACCTCCTGAAGTGCGAATTCGGGTTCATACACAAGATTTTCTTCGGGTAAGATCCCCCGTGCCACAGCCCATATGGAGCCGAAGACGCCGAGATAAAAGATAACCGAGCGGTCTTTGGTGATCTCGAAGTTCAAGAACATCTCAGGATCTATGACGGACGCCACCGCAAGAACAGATGCCAACGCTCCGGCAACGAAGGCCACAAACCTTGAGATCTGAACAGTTTTGTCTTTGGGAAATTGGTCGATATATCGACTGGCAAACGGGTATGACATGTTGATTCGCCTCTGGAACAAATGCCATAGCTCGTTGAACTCACGGAATTTCCACTCGGCAAAAGGAGTGTATTGCCGAGAACCGATTTGGGATGGATTTCTCTGATATTCGGTGAAATACGAAAAAAAATAGTGAACAAGGAAGTAAGCAACGAGGAATGGCGCCACAAGTATATTGAGAGTTCCAGCGAACTTGAATCGTCGGCGCAGCCCATCACTCAAACGTTTCCTATGAGTTTCCTTCAAAAACAACGGGCGAACCTGACCATGCTCATTGAAAACGTAGTCCAGAACACATTGATTGATGTTCCACTCCAAAGTACGTGAGAATAGCTGTCGTTTGCCAATAAGAGGTAAGGGAAGCGTTAATTCCAGGATATCCTTATTGAAAAGAGCAATGAGATAGTTCTCTTTTCGCATGAGTCGATTTGCAATATCATGGGCGTCCATTCGCTGCTTTGACTGGCTGCCGAGGAATCGTCTATGTTTTGTGGGCAAGACTGTCGCTGTGGTTGGATTCGCGTCGCGAAGCACCATCAAGCGACTGACAACCTCCTGCCAAGAGATGCTTTGGATTTCAAGATCAGATATGCCAAGCAGGTGCTTATAGAAGTTATGCAGGTTTCGCAGTCGTCGGATGTCTAAGAGGTACTGGAATAGCTTTAAGACCCAGAAAAAGGACAAAACCCAAGTTGCTAAGTTCGCTCCTCCCGACATGTGACTGGCGCACTTGGGTACCAGAACCTGACTCATGTTACCACTGCGTCGCAGCTTGTCGTAATTGATGCAGTTGCCCAGAAACATCGTGAAGCCGGCAACGAAGGCAAAGGTGAGCATCTGCAGTGACCGTTGTAGCATGATTGACAGGAATCCATTGCCAAGGTAATAGACGTATACTTCTGCAAGAAAATTGTCAAGATTTTCCACGTTCGCCCATCGCCACATCGCCTTTTGCTTGGGGTCTGCCAGGGAGAGGCCTCGAAGCTCAGTGCTCGGCCTTGAGAGGCCTGTTACTTGGGCTGTCTCACGCGGATAAAGTAGCTGATTAGCCTGTGTTGTCTCCCACTGATTCCTGGCGGCTTTGGTGGTAGGTCCACTGATTGGTATCGGATTATTCGGAATCCCCGTCGGTGATAATGGATGACTGATTCCTCGAGGGGATGATTTTTGATTCTCCCCTTCAGTCAGTAGCGAAGCTGGCACTTCATCATCTGCATCTTCCGCCTCAAGGTTGCCCGGACGCCTCATTCGGGACCCTTGCAGTTTATGCCTTCTGTTGTTTTTTGAGAATCGTCGGCCCGCAGCCTGGCTGCGATTGAGCTGAGCATCCTCGACTTCGAAGTCATGGAATGGGCTCCCCAAATTCTCCTCATCAAGTGCCATGCTGGCCCTTTGCTCGATGTCTGAGCCGTCGGAGCTTTCGTCGTGTTGTCGAAGTGTCTCGTAGATTGACGGCGAGCCATTGCCGGTAGGTAGCAAGCGAGAGACCAAGTTTGATGCCATCATGGTGCAGTGAGAGTACCCTGATAGGCACCCTCTGTCTAGAAGAGCTCGAATGGGAGTAGTGGACCATTGCAGCCAGTACGCATGCTGGAGATGCGGAGTGAGGTAGTGGATGGAGCATGTCACTTGCGCAGAACAATCTAAGCTAAGATAGGCAGCTTAGCCATGACCTGACTGTTCTTCATCTGGGTCTCGTGGTAAGGTGAAGGCCGCAAGGGGCGTGCACGTGTTGCTTTGCAGATCGAATAAGTTGGGTTGTTGCGGAGCATAGGTGAGCGAATTCTGTAAGGGAGCATGACACCCAGGCAATCATTGTAGCCACGTTGGGGTTGTGCCTGAGCTAAATGATGCCCAGAACATCTCACATAACTACTACTTACCGGTACTAATAACGGAAGCACTTGGTGCACTGCAGCAATCAGGACCAGTAACTTATCCCATTTACACCAAACCCATATCGCCCGGTAACACAGACCCCCAATTGATATGCCTTTCTCTTGCATATAAACGGAAGCTCATGCAAAAACAGCCACTGTAGATATGACCTGTCACATCTATTTCTGAAGATCCCGCTACACACAGTTACACCTTGACGGTACTTGGGACATACTGTCAATCCCAGCTTCCCCTCCAGCTATGCATGCTTGCAAGCATTGACCGCCCCCAGAACACAGACACCTCTTCCAATGCGACTCAAACGACACCAAGTACCCAAACAGGAAAGATAATCTCGGCTTTTTCCAGCACTCTTTGGGTTGTAACACAGGCTCAGAAGATCGGGACGCTATAGCTACTTGGTGTATTGCCTTGCCTTGTGACGCCGGTAGAAGACTTCTTCCAAGCTCTTCACATGCCTACATGGGCAAGACTCTGCGAGACTCGATGCTGCCGATCACTAAGAAATCGGTTCGAGGGGGCCAGTCGATAGCAGTCAGCCTGTCAATATTGCATCAGGGTGGCTGTTTCCAACTCGCATTCACAATCGCGCAAGCATTAGACTTGGCGTGGCCGGTACATGTGCGACCATCACAATGGATATTGAATTTTCTGAGCGCCAGAAGCGGCATGCTGGGCGGCCTCGGTCGCAGATACAATCTATCGAGCGTCGTTCTAGCAAGCAGCCGACCTCGCCTATTAAGGGTGGAAAGACATTGCGGGAAGGATCCAAAAGCAAGACTATTCGAGCGGTGACACCAGAGTCTCCCACAGAACCTTTGACAGCTCGAGGTGCTCGTGAGGCTATCTTGACAGCGTCACCTTCTTCCATGGGCCGGGAAGCTTTGAACGCCTCAAGTTGTGATCAATCTGCCTCCGTTTCCAGTGCGCCTCAAGACACTGCCGTAAGGGTTAAGCCGCACAAGCAAAAATCAAACAGAAAAGCATCGGAAGACGCCTCGTTGTCTGCATCACCTACTTCGTTGTTGTCAAAAACTCGCGTTCGCATAAATTCCATTACCACAAGTAATCCCTTCTTCACCAGATCTTCTGAAGACTCGTCTCATTCGATAGGGTTTCCTTCGGTTGTACCACCGCCAACTTTCTCGCAATCAGAAGTGAAGTCACATCAAGTTGGCAGAAAATTACAGCGTCTGGTGAAACCGGCACCGTCGGCTGCCTTGGGGGGTGGTGCATATTATCCTGAAGGGATGGACCTCCGGTCGCCGCCTATGAACAGTGATTCTGATACTATACTGGACTTGATGAAGACAACGTTCGGTCGAATGCATGGTCTCTTATACTTTCGCCCCGCAAACGCCCGGAACTGGGCTTCGGGATACTGCGCGATCAATGTTACATACGGGAGCTTAGTCTATCAAGCGAAGGGCGAACCACCGCTCGCTAAAACTCTTATACCTGATCTGCGTGGCTGCAGGGTCAGATCATTGTATGATCCTGAAGATGAGTGCAACTATCTTAGTGTATCCACTGCATCGTCTGGTCTGAGGGTGCATCTGAGACCACCCGTGCCGGAGACATTTGATTCCTGGCTTGCAGCGCTGCTATGCTGGCAACCTATCAGACCCAAAGGCGTCCAGAATAAAATGACCAAACCACAGTCCATCTCGATCATTGAGCGCCATACGACAGACAAAAGGCGGGCTTCGGAGGCCTCAATCTCTAGAAGCCCTGCCATTATCAAGGTCGGCAGAATGCTTCTTTGGGAAGGCAGCATGGATACAGATGCGTCGCATCCTACTACATCAAGGCGAATCTCGACGTACAAGCAGCTTAGGGCCATCTCAAATTCGTGGCAACGGATCAGCTGTACTCTTCTGGACAATGGCCATTTCAAGCTGCTGACTGAGTCGGATGCTCAATTGATCTCAGCCATCCACCTCTCGTCACTGTCTCGATACGCGATACAACAGCTCAATGCGTCTGTACTGGAGGACGAATACTGCCTTGCTATCTACCCCCAATACATAGCACACCCTAACGAGGAGATTCAGGCCAAACCCATTTATCTGTCTCTAGAATCGCGTGTGCTGTTCGAAGTCTGGTTTGTATTGCTGCGTGCCTTTACAGTACCCGAACTTTATGGACCGGAGCAGCCGATCTCAGACCTATCATCCGCGCAAAGAGAGCCTATCTCAAATGCAGGTTCAAGTTTGTGCGCAGGACTCTTTCGAGTAGAGCGTTCCTTGTCAGTCAAGATCACAGAAGCTAAGCTTACTTCTCGAGCTCCTCACGAAAACTCCGCCCATCTAGAAGCCAGCTTGACTGCACAAGGGGCGCAAGGAGGGTTCTATGCGGAAGTTGTGCTTGATGGTCAACCCAGAGGGCGAACATCTGCAAAACCACAGAGCTCTATGTTTTGGGCTGAAGACTTTCTGTTTGAGGATTTACCACCGGTCCTATCAAGTGCAGTGGTCCTCCTTAAAGTTCGGAGGGCAGATGAGAAAGAATGGACGACTGTTACCACCGGCTTATACACTTTGTCCCCTGCTGATAACAACCAAACGTCAACTAACAACGAAATCTCGGTCTCATCCCATGATACCATAATTGGGAAAATAGAGCTCCAGCTTGACGACATGGAACAAGGGGTCGAGATCGACCAGCGTTGGCAGGTGGTCGACAGCGATAGTTCGCCCATAGGGTACGCCCTCATGAAACTACGACTCACTGAAACAATCGTTCTGATGAAGGAGGACTATTCACCACTCCTCGATCTTCTACGTAGCTTCTCCAATGGGCTTACTGTCACAGTAGCCAAAGCAATTCCCTCAGAGCTGAGATTAATTTCTGAGACCTTTCTAGACATCTTTCAAGTATGCGGAAATGCCAGTGAATGGCTGATGACTCTCGTGGAAGATGAGATTGATGGTGTTCACCAGGAAGCTTCGATGCAGAGGCTCAGGTATAACAGCAGAATCCATTCGAATGATTCTTATGAATCAGCAGAAGAAAGGGAGCTTATGGTGCGGGACCTTGGTCGGTCGGCCACACTCGAAGCGAACCTACTGTTCAGAGGGAACACGCTCCTAACCAAAGCCTTAGACGCGCACATGAGACGCTTGGGCAAAGAATATCTTGAAGAAACCATTGGAGAGGCGCTACGCGACATCGATGAAAGTGATCCCGATTGCGAGGTTGATCCTAGTAAGGTCAAAGCGCCGCAAGCTCTTGATAGGAACCGGAGCAATCTTATCACCCTGACGATGAATATTTGGGCAGCAATATCTGCTTCCGCAGTGCGCTGTCCGACAGAGCTGAGGCAACTATTCCGGCACATTAAATCATGTGCTGAAACTCGTTACGGTGACTTCCTTCGAACTGTCGCATATAGCAGTGTGTCTGGTTTTCTCTTTCTGCGCTTTTTCTGCCCAGCGATCTTGAACCCAAGGCTCTTTGGCTTGCTCAAAGGTGAGTTGGTTACGCAACTGTCAGCGTAATTTCCTTCACACTGACTATCAGTATCAGAGAATCCCCGACCACGAGCACAACGGACGTTGACTTTGATTGCCAAATCGTTGCAAGGCCTTGCCAACATGTCAACATTTGGCGCCAAAGAACCATGGATGGAGCCTATGAATACCTTCCTACAGACATCACGCCCAGAGTTCAAGGCCTTCGTGGACAGAATCTGCTCCGTTCCATCAGAACGACCAAGTCAAGCAGTATCAGCGTCATATGCCACTCCGATCCAAATTCTCGGAAGGCTCCCGCAAACCTCGCGTGAAGGGTTCCCAAGCCTTCCTTTCCTGATCGATTCAGCCAAAAGCTTTGCAAGCTTGATTCCTCTATGGCTGCAGAAGCGCCCGGATAATCTCGATGCGAAAATGGAGAAAGACCACCCTTTACGAGAGTTTCATGAGCTCTGTGTTCAAATTCAGCGGCGAACAAAGGATTGTTTGAGTAAGGCAGAGCCAGCTGAGCGGCCCAGTGGAGGTCTGGAGCTTGAATGGCAGCGATTACTGGTGGACCGAGAGAGATATGGTACATTCGAGGACGACCTGGTCAGTCCGACCTTTCTGCCTGCTAGTGATGTAGTATCTGGAAGTTCGCGGACGGATTCTGCAAGCAGGCGCACATCAACCAGCCTCTTCATGAGGCCTCTAACGCCACCATTTGTGCCTCGGGCCAACCACGAGTGGGAACCTGACAGACCACGGGGCCCAACCTCGGTCTTAGCAGAGCATACCAGGCCTGCATACTCTTGTACGCGGACAGGGGAATCCCGAAAGAGCGCTTCGAGCTCCAAGAACTCGTCAAGCTTATCACTGGAGACTGCTGAGAGCTCTCGGCTGCGGTCAAATACGGGCAACCGAGATGGCTCCTCCAAGAATCGATTCAAGGATTTTGTGAGTGCGTCCGCGCGGCGCCGAATGCGGGAAGGAGTGCATCCCCCGCGCTCCGAAGAGCGAAGTGAATTTTAATGATATTTCAGTGATGTGAACACTTTGGATGGGTTTGCTCGATTTCAGGAGCTCGACTTCCCCGAAAAGCCTGCGGCGTTGGCGGAACATTCGGGCATGATTAACGAGCGAACTGATTGAATTAGAGCAAGGATTGGTGCTAACTTCATCTTCACACAATGCTCGGAGGCCTTTCGATGGCTTAGTTGTAGCTCAGGAAGCTCGGGAGGTTCCTTCTTCCAGAACGCTACACTCTTCCTGGCACTTCATCGCTCTACATGTATGACTATCTAACGTTATTGTGGTACGTTTAATAGTCCGTTGGCATCCCTTGGCCCCATGTAGCAGTAGGACTGAGGTCTAAAGTTAATATGCTCGCCCGCCTCCATTGGATGGCTCAATATATGCTGATGACCACTATATATCCAAGGATCTAAATACTCTCTTACTATGATCTCATACGGTCGGTTGATGAGTCGTCGTCTGGCACTGGCAGTGTAATTCTTTGCTTGACCCTGGGGGGTCAAGATGTGCACTGAATGATGAAAGCCCGACGGATTTAGGCTAAAAGGGGCCGTAGCGTAAGAAATGCCAAGCCATGTCCGCTCTGGCATCATTTATTTTCATAGCCATGTAATCCATCTGTCATAGGGCCTATCAGCTTGGCCTACTGTTCCTGTGGTATTCTGTCTGTTGCAGAGCTATCTCGAACCCTTTGCTTCGGACGTACCCGTACCCCACAACGTTTGTAATGGCTCGAGCCTCACATTGACCCAATACAACCGCCTGTTTTCTTACAACCTTGACTGATGTTCGACACTTTGTTGGAGATCACCTCCTCTATTCGGTGTCTGGTCAGTTCAAGATAGGCTTGACTCTAGCGAAGGGTGAAAGTTCAACAAAATGCCTTCCAGTCGCGGGAAGAAAGTCGTGGCTAGCCGACGTCGCCGGGAAGACGACGGAGAGGAAGAAGGCTCGATGGCGGAGGATCTCGAAGATGATTCGTTGAGCGAGGGATCCATTATCAGCAACGGTGACGATGATGCTGACATCGAGCCAAGCGATATTAGCGAAGAAGATGTCGTCCAAGCACAAAACAATCGAAGCGGGCCTGCGCAGCCGGATCCTACTCTGACCACAACAAAACCCAATCTTGAGGAGTCAAGTGCTAAGGCTACAAGCTCAAAGTTTGTTACTTTATCGGATACGAATACTATGATGAATGGTCTCAAGGTCTCTGAGGGAAAGGATATACCAGTGGTTGATTCCGACCAAGTTGTGGCCGAGACCACAGACTCTGTGGTTGAGAGCTCAATGGAACGCGCCAAAATCTCCGTGGATCCGCCGGCTGAGAGAAGCCGGAGAGAACATCTGGAATACCTGAAAGAGAAGATGGAAAATCCAGCTTTCGTGCCTAATCGAGGAGGTTTCTTTCTGCACGATAACAGAGCAGCATCTTCTGGCCAAAATGGGTTTAGGGCCCCTGCCAGGGGACGAGGTCGTGGAGGCTTTATTGGCTTTCAAACAAGGTATTTTCCCTCACCTGTCTCTGCCCTCGAATTCGTAATCTCACTTCATGCAGTCGAGTACCTCCTTTTGCCGAGCCAACAGATCAACCATGGGCACATGACCTGCACGAGTCAATCTCAACCACGGATACCAAGAAGCCAACTGCAAGCCAAACGTCAGAGAATGCTAAAATCAGAACAACCACCGCTCTACGTAGCTCGAGCCAAGACTCGCCAAACAGATCGTTCTCTACCTCTATCTTACTTGGAAAGGTCCCAGTCATCATTTATCTACCGGGCATGCGGGAGAAAGTGACAGTCCCAAATGTGGCCAAAAAGAAACACACACTATTGCCGCAACACAGACCACCCTTAAGGCGAGATAAACCTGTCAGGATCTCTCTGCCCAATCAACAACCACGGTACATATTTCCGAGCACAGAGCGATCGTTCATTTTCATTCCCCGCGCTCTACGGCCCAACCAGCAGGGATTTGGACGAGGCAGAGGCAGAAGCAGCTTCAACCCAAGCCGTAGAACGAGCGTTTATGGCGGCAGCACCTATACACCAAGTATCGCCATGAGCCGTAGATCTTCGTTGGGCGGCATCGCGCCGGGAGAAGGGATCCGATCTCCAGGTGGACCGGTGCTGTCGCTGCCTCCGAATTATGTAGCCGAACAAGGCAAGCCTGTCGTACGATTTCCGCCTGCTGCTCCACCGATCTCTATGCTGCCTCAAGCAACCCCACACCATGTCAACGGTGTCCCGACTGCACCAGGGTCCGTGCAACCTATAATACAGAGTCATGACAAGCAAGAAAAAGTTCCCGGTGCTCTGACGATGCATCAGCCCCGACCTCAGAAGACAGTTTCTGTTGCAGATATCGAGTCGCCAGCGAGGCTTACTTTCGATCCGCCTCAGCAGCAACAAGAACAGCCATTCCATCAACAAATGCCAGTCCCGGTCCACCCTCATGCGTACGCAGACGACGGTACTGGTTACCACGCTCATGCAAGACGAATGTCCCATGCCAGCCGGCCTAGTGGGACGCCATTGTCGCAGATTCCTGAAAGGGCGATCTATGCACAGCCATTTCACCCGTTCCCGTTACCAGCCCAAGCACAAGGATATCTTCCCTCTCCCTATGCCCCTGGGGCTGTCTTCTACCCTGCCATGCCGGGTGACGTTACTGGTTATGGGCCCAGCTTGGGCCCATCTATTCCTCCAGCGTTTCTCACTGGCGCTCCGGCTCCACCATACATGCTACCTGCTGCAACGATGTCGGCGCCTGTTCCGGTTCCGGTTCCAGTTCCTGCTCCTGCTCCTGCAGCTCCTGCAGACGGTAATGCGCCTGCTGGCACGGTGGCTCATGAATCGAATGGCATGGTGTATTACTACGACTCCTCACAGTTACCACCTACAACTGGCGCCCCGTACTCTGCTTCATTTACCGGAGCTTCCGCCGGTGGTGTGGTTGGAATGGGTGGGATGATGACTCCTCCCAATCACTTCTTCTATCCGCCCGCCAGCAACGGAATTTACTACACCGCGCCATAATTTCAGCTTTTATAATCCCTGATGCTGCCTCTTGTAGCCGTCTCCGTCTGTTAAGGTTCTGCGTTCTGCGTTCTGCTTTTTGTTAAGGGTTTCTGTGCTGCATTTTAGCGAGCCTATGGGCCGGGACGTGTTTAGCTTCTGCTGTTCCATTTTGATCAGTGCATGGAGCATGTGCAGTCAGACGCCGATTCCTTTGCCTAGCAGCACTTCATTGCTTTGCAGGTCAAGGCGCATCAATTTGGTGATTTGTGTACAAAGTTCCGGGTGTCTTTAGCTAATGGGTAACTGGAAGGAAGGGATCACCACTTTGGGTGGTAGCATGCGGGTTACTATCATATCAGCTATATCGACAATCAAAACCTGTCCTGGTGGACGCGAATGTCGTGCAGCCCAGCCGTGCAGCCATCTATTTTATGCTATAACTTAATTCTGGATGTATGTGGTTCGACTGTTGAAAGTCGTAGTGTCCATTTCGAGTACGGGATATGCCAGAAGTGGAAGTGATCTTTGACAATAAGATAGAGGTGTAGCTGAATTTTTAACAGTTATTCCATCCACGCCTGGCGGCCTCGAGATACAGAAATATGCACCGAGGTATTTTCATCTCTGGCCACCACAGTGTACGAGTGTACGAGTGTACTAGGTACCCCACTGCTTGCAAGTCCAGGCCTCCACTGGCGTGAGCGAGAATCTTTGTATACATATTATGTCAAACGGCAAGTCCAGTATTTTTGTTCATAGGGGCGAAATGCGGAGCAACTGAAGGGCATGAACACGTCTCCACACGATTAATGCGGAGAGGTGGCAGTGAAGGCGGTGGTGGTTCGTTGGTGGTTCAACTAAGTTAGCGTGTAAATGTAAATCAAAAGTTGATCCGTCATTCTGCGGCTGCCTAGAGAGTGTTGTACTTGTGGTTATCTAGTTAGAGCTGGCTCCCCACCTCCCTACGTCCATCTACAACCTCACTCCACTTCCCATCTCCAGCATTGCTCCTCCCTCTTCACACCTGCCTACCTCTACACACACACTCCCTGCATCGACAAGCCCTCGATCCTCTAAAACTCAAGACAGTGGTAACTAATACCCATACCCAACGATTTCAATCATCAACTTCTAATATCCATTTTCACTCACTTAGGCTTACCTTGACCGCAACCTGACCACTCGAGATTGTGTGCCCGCCATGGCTACTCAGGCACCGCAATCTGCGCCAGTTGGCCCAGACACTCTCATCACTGTCAAAGTCATCATAGATGGCACCAACAGAAGATTCAAACTTGCATTGAGAGACCTTGGAGCGCATGTCCTGCCTCAGAAGGTGTGTAAGGCTCTCTGTTACATCCTTCGTTTAAGCCCATTTTGCACCCTTCTTGGTACTACAATGATAGGAAGACTTCAATTTTAATGCACGGCAACTGACAGCGTGTTGCAGCTTCGCTTCCTCCTGGCCATCCCTCCCGATACTGATGTGGTCTTCGAACGTTTCTCGGATTCGGCTGGATCCTACGTGGCACTTGACAGCAACAATCCCGCCATCTACAAGCAGTTGTACCGAGCTGCCAAAGCCAAGTTGAAGCTCCGTATCAAGACTACAATTGTCCAGCGTCCGACCCTGACCGAACCGGTGCCAAACCTTATGGATGAGCAGCAGCCACACTCTAACTCTCTTCGTCTGCACACTCCAAAGACCTTGCCTGCCTCGCGCCACAGCTACCTCGAAACTGTCTTGTCTACTCCTCGAGACGAAGAGAGCCAGTCTCGCCACTATGAGACCTCCACCGTCCCGGCTATACCTTCGTCTATCCCGGCCGCTACCACGGCCACGATGTCGCTTGGCAATACTACGAATGACACATTGGTCACACCAGCGGAGCTCGATCAGGCAAAAGCTGCAAAGAACGAAACATCATCAAAGATGACACTTCTCAGACATAGTGATCTCGGGTGTGGCCCAGACCTGTTGAGTTCCGCTTTTTGCATTGACTGCAACAATTGTAAAAAGTCCATTCCAGATGAGCATTACCATTGCGGCATCTGTGATGACGGTGACTTCGACCTCTGTTCGTCGTGCGTAGCAGCCGATGTAACCTGTGACGGAGAGGGACATTGGCTCATCAAAAGACGCATTCAAGGTGGGATTCTAGTCAGCAGCGTTACAGAGACTATCGCACCCAAGAAGTGGCAGGAACCAAAGGTGCTGGAAAATGAGAAAGAAGATACACACGCCACCCAGTATGCGGCCCGTACTTGCAATTCATGCATCGATGGTAAGGAAATGCCATTCGATTCTTGCGATCTTTTTACTAACTACGCAGCAGGAGTGCCGGGCGAAGAGCTTGTCACTTGCACAAATTGCGCTGATTACGACTTGTGCATGATGTGCTTCTCCCTCGGGGAGCACGGACACCATCCAGCCCATCGCTTCGAGCCAGTGTCTGCTGATGCCTCCAAAATCAGTTCACGTATCCTCTCACTCTGTGAGGCAGGTCGTGGTCTTGTCCATGCAGCGATCTGCGATGGTTGTGACAAGGTAATTCAATCTTGCACCATCCATATGCACATCATGCTTATTGGTACCTTAGCATATTATCGGCGTTCGTCACAAGTGCTTAAGTTGCCCTGACTGGGATTACTGCTCAACCTGTGTTCTCAGCGCTCCACAGATCCACCCCGGTCATCGTTTTGCTGCTCTTTATGAACCGATTGCAGAAGTTGGCACCCACGACGAAGTTCATTTTGGCATCTATTGCGATGGACCCCTCTGCGCCAGCAAACCTCGCAAGCAGTATATTCGTGGCACACGTTACAAGTGTGCAGTCTGTCATGATACGGATTTCTGTGCCAATTGTGAAGCTATTCCGTCCCTTCGTCACAACCGTACTCATCCTTTGATCAAATTCAAGACACCAGTCAGGCATGTCTCGGTCACTACGCTCGGCGAGAAGAACAATGGTCAAAGCATGGGGCAGATGGGAGACCGACCAAGCGCCAGAAATGCAGCGACAGAAACTACACCTGTAGCCAACTCCGTCAGCACCGCTACCCAGGTTCAAACGGTGGCTGAAGTCAAACCTGTCGAGATGGTGGTGCCCCAGAAGTCCACGGAGGGTGACGTATCGAAGAAAACCGTGTCCGAACTGCAAGCTTGGTTTGAATGCGACTCGACACCTGATGGCTCAAAGTTGACGCCCAACCGGCTGTTCACACAATCCTGGACGATTCGTAACCCTGGTCCAGATGCATGGCCTGCAGGATGCGCTGTCTACTTTACTGGAGGAGATCACATGTTGAATGTCGACACCAAAAATCCATCCAGTGTGACTGCTATGGCTATTGCCACCAAAAGCAACTTTATGGAAAACACTGTTGAGCCGGGGCAGACCGCTGTCTTCACCGTCTTACTCAAGTCACCTGAACGACAGGGGCGCGCCATCTCTTACTGGCGCCTGAAGACTCTGGATGGGACTCCTTTTGGTCACAAACTCTGGGTTGACATCACTGTCGCCACTGTACCGCTTGATCTTCTTACTCCTAAGAAGGCTGAGGCAGTGGAGACTGCCCAGGAAGCTCAGAAGAACGTGGAAGTCAAGGGTGAGGAACTCAAGAAAACAGAGACTTCAACCATGATCTTCCCCAAGCTTGATAAGGAGTCACCTGTTTCGAGCGTGCATGGTCTTCCCACTGCTGTTGCAGCGGTCGAGGTAAAGGCGGAAGATGAGGAGCTGGCCGAGGACCTCGAAAGTCTGCACTTTGAAGATGAAGACGAGACCGACGATGGTTTCATGACCGATGAAGAGTACGACATCCTAGATGCTAGCGATGAAGACTTGTTGATGGAAGCTCAAAGTGCAGCACAGAAATGAATAGTAGAAGCTGGGAGCTCGACTTGTTGACGGTATAGGCGAAAGGGAAAGCTATATGTGTAGTCTACTATGCTACCGTGGGCTTGTGTGCTCTTGAGGTGCTCAAATTGTCAGAGGGGAGGATGGCAACGGCGAAGGAGGTTAGTATGCAGTGAGCTTTCTTATCCTCTGGACTAGGGTCAGATAGTCAATCTCCTTTTCACTATGAATAACTGCCTTGCAGACATCTGGGTGTCCTGACCAGCATTCAAATGATGGCATAATTTCGCTCTAAGTGGAGGAGCCTAGCCACCCAGGCGCTGCCAGGCTAAATGCCTAAGCATTACGGAGTACGCAGGCCTTCGGCCAAGTTGAACCACACCCCAGCCACACCCAATCACACGCGGTCCTTCGTCAGCTGACTGGAGCCTGGGTCTCCTTGCGTCCAACAGCGTAGGGAGGCGACTGCGCCCTGTTATTCCGGCTTCCAGGATAGCTACCCTACCCAATTAATGCTTTCCAAGGGCACACGTTCAACTTTGTTTGCTTGCCGCAGGAAGCGTAGGCAGCCGTCGGGAACCATACTGGCCGCACGCCTGATGTCACCGTCGGTGGCCTTTCCCTATCTTTTGCTACGTATGACTTGGGTCGGACTGCGATGTAGGTGATGTACTGTTGGTCTTCAGAGACGACCACAGACCACATTTGGTATGGACGATATTTCATTTTCTACTAATCATCATCGGCACCGCCCTGTCACCATAGGCATGATCTCTCGTCCCTCTCATTGATATCTATGCATAGTTGACACGCGCACCTTCCTTGTTGACCATTCCTCAATCTGCTATCTACTTAGCGTGTTCCTGCCGGCATACGGAGTACACCCTTCGATTGATCCGTCCCTCAATCATCCGCTTCCACTGAACGTTGAGGGCACTGGTCTTGTGGCTCGAGGATTGCTTCCTCGAACCCTTCTTCACCCTGTTTTGCGCATTGGTGTGATCTGCTTCATGATACTTAGATAGGCGCTTCATCAGTACTTGCTTCGAGTCCCCTTGTCTCGACTGTTTTCACCTCCAAACAAGTTGTCGTGCCCTTCACTCTCTGTTAAGAAGATTGGTGACTTCCAAGCGGCTTTCAAACGAACAGAATGAATTTGTGGCTTAGCCATCTCCCGTCCAGATCGCCATAGTCGAGAAGAAGATCCCCCAGCTCTCCCCAAGGCGGCACATCACTTGCTACCCCGTGTCTTGTCAAGCTCGTGTGAAAAAGGCAACACAGATCCCAAGATGACGCCATCTGAACCCTCAACACCCCCAGCAAGTCAGAGCAGACCTCCCGTCCTACGTACTATCAGCTCGCCGCCGCTGCCAGCTGCGTCGCCGTTGGGGTCACTGAAGCTGGACTATCTACAGCAGCCCTCATCCCTAAAAATCGTCACTCGACTAACGCCTCCAACCTCTCCCGAACTTGCAAGACCTAATATCAACTCCGACACATCTAAAGGCGCTGAGCACCCTAGCAACTCTTTGATATGCATTTTGCAAAAACAAGGCAAACCTATCTTATGCGAGGATAGCCTTCAGGAAGGAAATGTGCCGCGCATTATTGAATGCCCGTTCGAGGTGGAAGTTGCCAGAGACTCCGCAAACCGCCCGCAAGTTTTCGGTCAAGGTGCGTGGAGTAAGGTGTATCAAGCAATAGTACGGCGGCCGAATACCGTGTCTTCGGCGTCCTCGCCACATAGTATCCTGACGCCTCCTCCGTCTCCTCAGACCTCGGTTCCTTTACTGGTTGCCGTGAAAACTCCTCTCTCGAATGCGTCTCGAACGGTACTCCGAAACGAGGCCATCACCCTGAGCCATCTGACAAGCACACCTCTCCATGAGAACTTTATCATCCCATTTCATGGTTACGTCAGCTCTACCTCCTCTCTTGTCCTTGCACCTGTCCCTTTGTCGCTGTCTGATCACATCGGTTCTCGTGCTCGGCTTGCTCGCGAAAACCACCCAGAGAGGGATTACACGGATCCTGTACTTGGCCCCGGAAGCTGGCTAAGTTTGGCTGGCAAAACCACCACCGCCCTTGCATGGCTCCACGATGTTGGTGGTGTTGTCCATGGAGATATTAAACCAGGAAACATTCTTCTTTTGCCAAGTCGCTCTTCGGATGACTTTGCCTTCGACCCGCTGTTGATCGACTTCTCTTCTTCCCATATCCTTTCCTCAACAAGTCCGATCTCGAACACGCTGTCTGCCCTGACCCGTGAATATACGGCCCCCGAACTACTCTCGCCATCTGTCCTCCGAGATCCCTCGGCAGTCGCCAAGACCGCTTCCGACGTCTTCTCACTAGCCGTGACCCTCATTGTGGCAGCTACGGGAGAGCTGGCAGTTTATAGTGGAAGTGTCCTGCGGAGGCAATATATGGCCACACAAGGGTGGCGCATACTGGAGTTTGTGAAGAACGGAGAAGGCGGGATGAGAGTACCCAGTGGTGGCGTCGTGGAAAGGGTTGTCGAGGATGCCGTAAGGAAAGTAGATGATGCGCGAATTCACGCCTCAAGGTGGAGGGACTTGGTCAGGGGGATTCAGAAAGAGGAAGTACCGCACCGGGAAATGCAGGATGGCTGAAGGGATGAATGCATTGACATGCTTGCTATACTGACGCCGCAGACGACGCTCACGAGCTTTTTGGATTTCGCTTTCGGTCAGCAACTACACAATCTCTTCCATGGCCCAATATGACTTACCGAGAGAAGGGCATCCTGATCCATGCAAAGGCTCTCTGCGAAATCATTAGGACTCAGGTTCATCGTTGCTGTTCGTGTATTAATACTTCGCTAGTACCAGTCTACGAATTATGGTCAACGTCATGTCTTTGCTTCCCAGGGCTTTTCATCACAGTCCGGCTCCTCCAAAATTAGAGTACTCTGAATTTAGACATAGCCAGCAATAGAATTTCCTTGATGCTCTGGCCCCGTTGCTTCTTCTGCCATTCTGCAAGGCAGTCTTGATTCTGGAACTTACGTTGTGCTATCCTGAACCCGAGCAAGTACGTGACAATTAAGATAAGACAGTGAAAGCTTCTAGGGTGCTAGAAGAGCGCCACATTATAGAGATACCGAAATGTTGAAATATGGTTATATGAAGTTCTTTGACCATCTGTCTGTTTCGAAATTAAAGGAAAGGAGTAAAGAGAGAAGAGGCGGGCCTAAATTTCTGTAATATTTGGACATGATTATATGGTGATCTTTGACTCTTAACTACACTTTAATTTTGAAGCAAAAAGGTACAGATAAAAGACTACAGTATCTGGAGGTCTTTGAGTTCCATTGTTCTTTGATTGTAGAAAGAGAAGTAGATATAAAAGAGTAGGGCTAGATATTCTGTGATATTTGAATATGATCGCCTGGAGGTCTTTGGCTTCTGATGTTTCTTGATCTTAAAGGAACGAAGTGAAGAGAGGAAGTAGGGTTGGACATTAAGTAGTGATCCTTTACGAAGGCAGTAGGAGGCCATCAGTGTTATATTAATTAGGAAGAATGATAAACGGATTAATGAGTATATAGGGGTTATCACTAATTTTCACATACTCTTTTGAGTACTTTGTTCTTGATAAGGACAACCTATAGAGACTAAAGATTAACGAACGCAGATCATCAGTTTAGTTAGTTTACTACTCTACAGTAGGAGGCAGAAGTATCCCTAGCACAGTACTAAGAACTGCTAGTAACTTAACCATTACGGTGTCATCATGCTTCCTCAAACCTTTTTCTTGTTAGTATCCACACGATTGATTTATTTCAGTACAGCTAAATCATGAACTGCTTAGCGGTCACGTAAAGCATGCCAGGAATACTTCAGCCCGATACCGTAGTAAGCTAGAGGGCGGCATCAATAGGCTTTGCCGAGAACCTTAACCTGGTCCGTTGCTATTTCATCACAGAACATCAAACGGTTGGTCTCGAATTCTTCAGGGCATGCCGCCAAGGCCAACTTTCGTCATGGCAATTTCATTCTTGCCAGTTCCCCAACCGCGTCGACCCGACCTATCACCACACATCTTACTTGTACCCATGCTTCTTACACGTTTTATGGTAGAGAAATGAATTGTGTCATGCCCAACTACTTATCATTTGCCATCTCTCAGTGGCAGCATCCTACTCCACGTTCTCATCCAGTTGTGAGGGTTAGGTTCTTACACTCCCCGTCAATAACAAATCACAAGACAATCAATTGAACGAACCAGATCTTTATCCTTGTAACAACCTCCGTCACTGTTGCTCACCATGATGAAAGATGATGGATCCAGTCCAGTTCTATCCCCTCCTCCCACAGAATTTCCCTACCCTACGGTCGAAGATGAGAAGCCCGTGGACAAGGACATGCGACTACAATCCGACACAACCCTCCATGAATCCAGCGAAGCCATGTCTGACGGCCGAGTGTGTGCTGCTGCACGATCCGATCCTCCAAGACCCGATCTGAATTCACGAAGATTCGAAACAGAGCGACCAAAACCCGTCGGGCATCGAGCGTCAATCTTCGCAATCCGGAGACGGGCAACTGGTGGGGAAGGGATCAAACAGGCCCAGCCATCCACAGAGCGACTAGAAAATGAGTCCACCTTGTCCTCCAGTGCATCCTCTTTGGAGGACGAAAAGGCGCGGAGAAGCTGGACGCAGCCGGAATATCAGGGTCCGGGCATGTCACGTTTGAACCAAGTTCAACGTCATAAAAGACGTCGTGCAGGAAGCAAAGATCAGTATGGCCAGTTTGCACTTGGCGAAAAAAGGAATAAGTCTACAGGCAAGGTCAGGTCAGATGGTAGGTTAGCCATTACCGTCAATGAAAAGGTCAACAGTGGCTATCTCGCCAAAGCACTTGGTTTGACATTACAACACCACCTACGACCCCTCCACAGACAGCATGAAGAAGAGAAGACTGTCTCGCCCGAGCTGAAGGCCCCTGCTACCACTTCTAAGTATGGCATTCCGAGGTTGAATATTGTGATCATGGTCATTGGTAGCAGAGGGGACATCCAACCCTTTCTCAAGATCGGCAAGATTCTTAAAGAGAAGCATGGACACCGAATCCGCATTGCGACACACCCAGCTTTCAAGAAGTTCGTTCAGGAAGATATTGGCCTTGAGTTCTTTTCTGTAGGTGGAGACCCCTCCGAGCTAATGGCTTTTATGGTCAAGAACCCGGGTCTCATACCCTCCCTGGAGACCGTCCGCGCTGGAGAGGTTAAGCGACGCAGAGAATCGATGTTCGAGATGTTCCAGGGATTTTGGCGCGCCTGCGTCAATGCAACGGATGACGAAAAAGACGTAGCGAATCTGAAGATGATGGGGGACCGATACGTAAGTGCCAATTTTGGGCTTCATGTCTACTGAGCTGATCTGGTCTGCAGCCGTTCATTGCTGACGCCATTATTGCTAATCCTCCTTCCTTTGCACATTTTCACTGCGCCGAGCGTCTGGGTATTCCATTACACCTTGTATTTACCTTTCCTTATACTCCTACACAAGTGAGCAGGGCACCCTCCTGAGCACTCTTTCACGCGATCTGACGAATACAGCAATTCCCTCATCCGTTGGCAAATATCAAAGCGAGCAATGTTGACACTGATTATACTAATTTTATGTCCTATCCACTTGTCGAGTTGATGACCTGGCAAGGCCTAGGGGACCTTGTCAACCGATTTCGAGTAAAGACTCTTGGACTTGAGCCCATGTCAACGCTTTGGGCCCCTGGACAGCTCTTCCGTTTGAAAGTCCCATATACCTATCTTTGGTCACCCAGCTTAGTTCCTAAACCCCCGGACTGGGGACCAGAGATTGACATTGCTGGATTTGTTTTCCTGGACCTGGCTTCCAGCTATAAGCCTCCACAGGAGCTAGTTAAATTTCTCGAGGGAGGTGAAGAACCTATCTATATCGGTTTCGGTTCCATTTCAGGCATCGAAGACCCAGATGCTTTCACGAAAATGGTCTTCGGGGCTGTCGAGAAGGCTGGAGTTCGAGCGCTTATAAGTAAGGGCTGGGGCGATATGGGCAAAGGGATGGACATCCCGGACAACATTCTGCTGCTTGACAACGTACCCCATGATTGGCTTTTCCCCAAAGTCCGCGCCGTTGTACATCATGGTGGAGCTGGAACCACGGCTAGAGGACTTTTTTGTGGGAAACCTACAATGATAGTCCCCTTCTTCGGCGATCAACCTTTCTGGGGAGCTATGGTGGCCGCAGCGGGTGCTGGGGCCAAACAGTGTCTGCCACTCAAGAAATTGAACGTGGACCGATTCGCGGAAGGCATCAAGCAATGTCTCACAGAAGAAGCACGGCAGAAAGCGCAAGAGATTGCCAAATGCATTGAGAAGGAAGGCGATGGCGCAGAAAATGCCGTCAATTCTTTCCATCGCTCGTTACCTCTAGACGGGGAGCACTCCCTGAGATGTTTTGTCTTCCCAGGTCGCGTTGCTGTATGGAGGTACAAAAAGACTCAGGTGCATCTTTCCGCGCTTGCTGCGGACTTGTTGGTGGAAAGTGGGAAGATTCAGTGGCGAGATCTACGACTCTTGAGACATTATGAATGGAATGACTTTCAAGGGCCCGGAGAACCCATTACTGGTGCTGGAGGCGCAATTGTTACAGGCATTAGCGACTTCATCAGCGGTCTCTCCAGCATAGGAGGTAGAGCGAAGAGAGGGTTGCAGTACCGTGAGAAACAAAAGCGTCGCAAGCAACGAAGAACAGTGGCAAACGCTATAGCTATACCAGGCGCGATTGCTCATCAAAGGTTCAATCTTGCAGCACCACAGGCAGATCGGATTCAGAGTAGAATGGATAACATGGAGGAGGTGAATTTGCACGGCGTTGCAGCACCACCAGCTGGAAAATTGCAATCTTTTGTCCCCACATCAACCAACCCAGCGCCGGAGGGTCTAGCCACCAGTGGCGATATTACAATATTCGCTGGCGAGAAGACGCGCGAAATGCCTGACCCGCCCTCCATTCCTGTGACGGTTCTGAAAGCCGCAGCACAAGGATTCGGTCATTCTGGGAAAGCACTCCTGCGACTGCCAGTCGATTTCTGGTATGCTCTTGCTCTTGGATTCCACAATGCGCCTAGATTATATGGCGACGGCAGTGTTCGGCCAGCGCCACACACTATTACTGGCTTCCGCTCCGGTATGAAAGCAGCAGGTAATGAGTTTGCATATGGTTTCTCGGACGGGATCACAGGGCTCGTGCGACTTCCCCGTCACGACATCGAGGAAGATGGAGCTTTTGGGCTGTTGACAGGGCTTGGCAAGGGGGTGGGTGGGCTCGTCCTCAAGCCCATCTCTGGTGTGGTTGGTCTTGGTGGCTTTACCGCCAAAGGTGTTGAGACTGGACTGAGGAAGAGAGTGCGAGACACTGGGAAGACAGACCGTTGGATCCGGCGGGGACGCATTAATCAAGCTCAGAAGGACATTCGTGAGCTACGAGAAAAGAAGTCAAGCCAGGGGAAAGAGGTTGTGTTGGAAGAGGCACGATCCCAGGCGTTGCGGGCCTGGGCGATGCATGAGGAGCATCAAGTAGAGACGGCAGCGAAGGAGAAAGAAAAGGAGAAAGAAAAGAAGAAATCACGTAAAGGTAAAGGTAAAGGTAAAGGTCAAGATCGCGGCACACAGGAGACACCAGAAGCATGACGATCGAATTACTATACGACGGGTGGTGGTGCCTCTTGGGGGGGAGTTTGACTTTTGCTTATGTGAATCCAACAGTCTTGGCCAATCACCAAGCGATGATAAGAGTTCGGCGCTATCGATGCCAAGCGTGGTATTACGAATACGTAGTTGGTACTGATCGATCGGGATCTTTGGAAGCTTGAAAGCATCCATAGAGGACTTTTCCCCATTGCTGTCACGCGAACAAGTCGAGGAGTTCTCCCTGCGGAGGATTTGTCGAGACGTCTGTGTTGGGCTTCGGTATTGCCACCAAAGAATGAAAGACAGTGGCACGACAGGAAGCTGGGTGATTTCGACGGGGTTGACAGCTTGGCTGTTCGGGAAAGCTGCAAGGCACGGGCGGAACAGGGTGCGATATTTATGGTCCAGCTGCGCTTCTCATCACTACCGTAGTACGTAGTACGTACAAATGTTGAGGTTGAGTACCTCTGCAGGATCACTCCTCCAGGATGGCGAGGACGGCGAGAACGGCGAGAACGGCGAGGACCACGCCGGTTGTTCTCTACCGCTACAGCCCATCCATTATGATGATTGAACCTGAGCACACTGTCATTTCCTGCAGTCATTTCCCGCAGTCATTTCCCGCAGTCATTTCCCGCAGTCATTTTTTCCCTCCTACACTATGAAGCGTATCAAGATTGTAAGAGAGTTGCTGGGGGGTAGAATATGCACCCTGACACACCACCCAAGCAAACTCCAGTGGGGCTGAGGCGTCCACTAATAGGCACGGTGGCGCCGCCAAATCCCCCCCTAAATTAGCTTGCCCCCCCACACCGGTATTCTGTTTTGTTCTCGAGCTCTTTATCTGTAAGACAATTCATTGCATTCTTCAATCTATATATCACAGCCCGCGCCCATTCCTTCAATCTCCATGACCGCCACCTGAACACATACGTACTCTACAGAATAATTTTGCAATACTTTTGCAGATACTTGTAGATATCGCCGCATCCCTTGAACAAACTCTATTCATCCTTTAGACCTCTCAAAGCCATCAGTCTATCAATCTACCCAGCATGGTATGACATAGCATCAACTCTTCTACCGTCCATTGACTAAACTGAAGAACAGGCTCAATCAACTGTCGTCTCCAACGCCCAAGGGGTAAATGCTTCCTTCGCTCGTGGCTTCACAAGCCACCCAATGTTCCCCACGCTGACCCTGCTCGACAGCTCGCGAAATATATGAAGCTCGACCAGAAGGGCGCGATCATGGCGGAATACATCTGGATAGACGGCAGCAATGGTGTGCGCTCCAAGACCAAGGTGAGCATCATCTGCATTCCAATGTCATTCCTGTTTGTCGATGCTTGTTCCCGATATCGGTTATCGTCGCATTTCCACGGTCGACCTGCCAATCTCACCTAGCGGCTACCCGATAAGCCACGCGACATTCGACATTCGGCATTCGCTATTCGCTCTATCCGTGCATTGCGCCTCCGCTAGCCCCCCGGCACTCTGCCATCTCTTCCCCATCAGCTTGTTGATCTACGCCTAGACACCTTGTCGCCCAATACGCTGCAGCAGAACCTCCATCATCATTTCACACTGCCCCTGCCTTTCAGAACTATGACGCTGGTTGGCCACTAACCATTAAACCCCTTGGCAGACCGTTAGCAAAGCCGTCAAAAGCGTCGATGAACTTCCAGAATGGAATTTCGATGGATCATCGACAGGACAAGCGCCCGGCGACAATTCGGATGTCTATATTCGACCTGTTGCTATGTTCCCCGATCCTCTCCGTCTTGGCGACAATATCTTGGTTCTATGCGAGACCTGGGATCCAGATGGAACGCCAAACAAGTTCAACTACCGCCATGAAGCCGCACGATTAATGGAAGCGAATGCGGAGCACGAGATCTGGTTTGGTCTTGAGCAAGAATACACCCTTCTCGGAGCTGAAGGCTGGCCTTACGGTTGGCCAGCGGGAAGAGGTTATCCCGGTCCTCAAGGCCCGTATTACTGTGGTGTTGGAACTGGTAAGGTCTTCTGCCGTGATATCGTTGAGGCCCATTACAAGGCTTGCCTTTATTCCGGCATCAAAATCTCCGGTATCAATGCGGAGGTTATGCCTGCTCAGTGGGAATACCAAGTGGGACCATGCGTTGGCATTGAACGTGAGTATTGGCGTCGTTGGAAACCTATCTCTCACTGATATATTCCAGTTGGTGACCACCTTTGGATGTCTCGGTTTCTTCTCCACCGTATCGCCGAAGAATTCGGCGCAAAGGTCACCTTCGCTCCAAAACCCATCCCAGGCGACTGGAACGGCGCTGGTCTACATACCAATGTCTCATCAAAAGAGATGCGGGAAGAGGGTGGCATGAAACACATCGAAGCAGCCATGAAGAAACTCGAACCCCGTCAAGTCGAACACATTAAAGTCTATGGCGAGGGCAACGCCGATCGTCTGACTGGGAAACATGAAACCGGCAACATCGATAAATTCACCTGGGGTGTCGCCGACCGTGGTGCCAGTGTACGAATCCCAAGATCCTGCGCCAGAGAAGGAAAGGGTTATTTTGAAGACCGAAGACCGGCTTCCAATGCTGATCCCTACCAAATTACCGGTATCATCGTTGAAACCATCTACGGTGGTCTTCCTCCGGAGCAATAGATGTATGAGGTCTTTTGGAGCTGTACCATATATTTGGTAAGTCGGGCTGGGAAGCGGAGTTTCTTGCATAACGTGTGAGTCTTGAATAGTGTGGACCTTAATCCATGGTGGCTTTGGATATGCCGTCTTGATACCTTGAGTGACCAAAGATTATTGCCGTTGGATAGTGGTGGTGGTGGTGGTTGGATGCAGGACCAATAGATCGTACAACATTAGCAATTCAACCTCCAACAACAACAACCTGTCATCTAATACCCATAGATATCAGTGTAGGCTTTCCACGCCTCGCAAATCTCACATCTGGCTAGTTATCCTAACTACTAATGTAGAACGAGCGCAGTCACGCGACAGCAGTTACGCCACACCTGGTTATCAGGTAGGTTCCGTACCAGGGCAAGACACCATCCAAACCTCACCAGCGCCCTTTTTCTTTATTGATATCTTCATCCCAACCAGCCAGCACCACGGATCAGAAAATTGATTTCCCTATCATTATCATCAACATCTACACCAAAAAAACAATCACCATTTGAAAATATCGTATTATGATGCACGCCAAGCGCGTGCCAAGCGTGTGCCAAGCGCACGTTATGCATGGTGCATGGCCTGAAGGACTCTGGTAGATTTCTACGTAACTAATTAGCTTCTACGTTTTGTTCTGCGAGATCAAAGAAGGGGCTTTGAGTAGCATTTCGTTACTTAGATCCTTCTCTCCGTCTCTCTCTCTCTCTCTCTCTCTCTCTCTCTCTCTCTCTCTCTCTCTTTCTCTCTCTCTCTCTCTCTCTCTCTCTCTCTCTCTTCTAACTAGATAGATAGACATGCAGTCCTCCACGCTCAGAACATCCATCAATCCTTCTTGATATACAGTCCTACTACTCTATTTGCCCCTTGCCCTTGCCCTTGCCCTTGCCCTTGCACTACCCCTGGGATGGGGATCCTAACACTAACACGTATGATGTGATACGTTACTTTATACTCTACTTGATGAACGGATCCATCTTCTATTCAGTCTTGAAAATAAATCGTTTCGTTCCTACCCCCCGATTTCTATCATAGAGAGGAGGGAGGTGGGGGGGGGGGAGGGGGCTATGGCTATTTATGATTATGATTATGATTATAATATACAGGTTAGGATTCGAAAATTAGGATGATATATACTATATATATAATATATCATATCGACTAGAAGTGTAAACAAAAGAGACTTGGTCAAAGAGTTTTAGTTTCCCCCCTCCCCAGAGAAAAAGAGCCAGGTTCTGCATATGCTGGTTGCATTTAACAGTAGCCTAGGTAGGTAGTTCTGCCTTTCCGACCCTTCCCTCCGCTGATGCTGATGCTGACGTTGACGCTGACGCGCTGACGGGTATTCATCTCGATTTCAACTCCCAAGGTCAAGTTGAAGCGTGCAACGGTACATTCTCTTTGCTGTTCTCGGCCCTGCCTATCCTCAAACACGTCGTCGACGTCTCTACCCCTAACTCGGTGTAGTAGCGTAAATTGGGCAATGCTATTCATCCTCCCTACTGGTCGTTCTGCGTTTTCATCGCCTTGAGGCTTGTTAATCCACCCCTTCACCGTCCATCCGGTCTTACCAAATCAATCATCCTCATCATCTTCCCCGAGAAACGGACTCCTCTCTAACTCAAACCTCGGGCCCGGAACGCCCCTGGGTGGTGCTAGCGACGGGGGAGCCAGCACCGCAGTCTTCTGCTCTACCTTCTCCATCTTCCCACCGATCTTCCCTTCCTGCGCTCCTGCTGCTGCTTCCGGGTTCAAAGCAGCTCTCTCCAAAGCCTCGCTGATATCATCAATGGCTTCTGCTTGGACGGTGTATAGGGCTTCTGAGACTGATGCTTGCGGGGATGATGTGGGGTTGGTGCCTGACAGGGTTGGTAGGGATGGCATGGATAGGAGGGTTGCGTGGTCTGAGCTAGAATTAAGGGGGGAGGTTGTGGAGGAGGCGGGATTTGGGGGCTTGTGGGGGAGGTTGTTTTGTTAATGGTGGAGAGTAATGCTCATCTTTAGGTGAGAATAGTATAGCGGTACTGACTTCCGGAGGAGGGCCCGACTGTTTTTGGTCTTCTGTTCTTGTGCTGGCTGTAACATCGCTTGTGCTGTGCTCCTCCGTGCTGTGTTCTACATCCCTAGCTCTCCTACCCCATGTTGATCTCCTTGTCCTAGGAGGTAAAGGCTTCTGTTTTTTGCTGGCCGCGCCCCTAAGAGAGGCCTTCCTGCTTGGTGTCATCACACCAGGCTTCTCGCGTTGCGCAGCAACCTCGAGCACGCTAAGAGCAGATTCTCGTGCTGAATCGAGCTGCGGAATCAGATATCCTGAAGCTGTCCTTGACGCGTTACGCTTGCGCAGCTTGCGAGGGATGGGAGGTACAGGAGGTTCTTTCTCTCCAGAGACGACATCTACAGGTGATGTAGCTGTCCCGGAGTTGAGAGCTGCCTGAATCTCCGATTCTGTAGTCTCAGGATTCTCAAGCCAGGATACTGTCCTGCAACGACTGACCAAACGTTTTGTGGTCTCATCCGCTTCTTCGAAGTGGCTCCATACGCCACTGCCTAGGTCGTCTTCACCACAGTCATGAATTGCTTGTGCACCAGCGAGTACAGCCAGCAGCTTTCGGATTTCTTCATATTTGTAATAAGGAGGATGTTTCAGTTGGGTGTGTGCTAGAAGTGGGTAGAGGACACGCAAATACGTATGACGAAGAGCCGCCGCATCTGATGGAAGGTCCAGGAGGTTTCGAATCAGAATGTCCACAAGGACATGGAGATCATTGGTATAAAAGTACTCCTGGGTTGAAGGAGTGGTAAAAATAAGGTAAAGAAGTTTCAGCGTTAACAGCTGTAGGGAAGTCTCGCCTGGAAACATGAGGTCAGTAGTGCTATCAATGTGGTTGCTGAGCACGACGATTACTTTCTCGATTGAGGAGAAGGATAATATTCTCGCCGAAGGTCTTGAAACTGCTGCCTTGCGTGGCCAATGCTTTCATCACCTTGTTTGTAAGGGGTACCGGTGACATGCCACTTGGGCTGGGTTCGTGGGCAGTTACCATGAACTGTTCGTTTAGGACTAGCTGTACATTATTTAGCATTTCTTTCAAGGACTTTCGCGATGGACTACCCACGAGGACTCGGATAATGGGATAATGGTAAGGATCGTTTACATCGTTCGAGAGCTCTTCGATAAGCGCAAAAAGCTGGCGCACAAAAGCATCATCAACGTGTACTATCAATAGAATCAGCCTGCCGACGGCTCCCCTACATACTTTGGCGCCATCCCTTAGATTTCTATTCGTGGAGTGTAGAACGCACCGAGTTCTTCAGGTCTGATCCGCTGGATCCTGGACATCTCGTAAAGCAGCTCCATGAGCATTCGATGTAAAGTAGCATCCGCATTTTGCTTCGGATTTGATATAAGGTCCAATAGCCGCGTGAAAGCACCCTCTCTGTTTAGCAGTTCGGCCGTGGATTCTGTCTCACGGATTTCGAAAAGAAGAAATGAGGTGACGAAGAGTAAGGCGTCAGGTTCATCGTCCTACGAAGAGGTCTGGTTAGGACTCAAAGGTCTTAGTTAACGGCATGTACGATTTTATCTGACCTGAAGCAGGCAATGGACGATCTGTCGCCTGACATAATCTTCGTGCTTTTCAAAAAGGGGAGAGGAGAGTAGGATATAGGAACAACGCGCGATATCATGCTCAGAGCTGATATACTTCTCTGTCAAGCGTGTCAGATTGTGGCGGTCATAATAGCAGCAAAGCGCCATCGGCTTACATACCACGAGAACTAGTCGCGACGGTGAGGAAGGACCGTAGAGCGTCGTCAATGAGGTCTTGGCTAGGGCACTCTCTGGATACTATCTCGTCAAGTTCTGGTAGAGATGCCTTGTCAGTCTCGACGTGCGCTTCGACAGCATTGGTTCAACTACATACCATTCCAGACCTGTTCCGCATCTTCAAAATCGTACGAGACTTCGAGGTCCATGCTAATCGCTGGTACATTGTGCGAGTCATGGCGCTCCGTGTGAGATCAATAATGCCATAGATACATAATTGAAAGAGTGGAGCTTTCATTTGAATGAAGCACGTGCGTCGTGAGCCACAGGGCGGAAGTGTCGAGTGGAACTTCCGACCAGGAATTACATACAGTAAGTACTATGTCACTACGCAGTTCCGCGCTGAACCTGGGGGATATCATGATATGATGTGACTTCTCCAGATTAACTTACTTTGAAGCTCTTCAAGTACCCTGGATCGTAACCTAACTCACTGCATTCAATCTGCGTACTTCCGTAGCGTATGGTATGTACTTTGAACTAAACGTGGTGATCGTCTACTCATCATTAATCTGCTTGCCTCAAAGTCGCCTCCTCTAAAGATGAACTCTGGAAGCGTTGCCCGCTGCACTTCTCGTACTGCCTTTCAACATGGCAAGCTTTCTTCCAGCATCGGGGCTTTGGAAAAAAAAGTCCAAGTGTTGTCAAGCACGCTTAGAACGCCCGCAATGCAAAACAGCAAGAGGTAAATATCTAGTAGTTGATATGCACAGAGTTGCTCCAGCTGACCTCCAGCATGCTCTTTTATTCCAATGTACCCGTTATTTGAAAACCGCCTCATTTCGGTCGCTTAAAGGGATGTGCCTCAGTATTACTATCCAAGTCAGTTCGATCGCTTGTCAGGATTGCCCGGGAACTTACAATACATAATCGTCCAAGTTTATAAGGTCTGGATCACTGTATAAGAGGTAGAAGTACTTGAGAGTCTCTGCGAGCCAGAAGGATTCCATACTATCCGAGAAGAAAGGTACCTCGCTTGTAACATCGTTGATGGCTGAATTGGCGTGCTCGGTAAAGGTGTAGGTTTGTATCGCGGTAAACATCTTCCAACCTTGTTCGCGCCAGTATTCGTCTCCAGTTACGCGATACATGATGAAAACAGACTCGATTGCCTCAGGACGAAGAATATACTTCCGGTTAGTGATGTCGGCAAATCCTGGTGGAATTCTTTCTTCCTTGATTCGAGCTTGAACGAACTCCTCATGAGTAGGAATAGGTTTGGGTGTGTAGGCTGGGTATGAAAACTGTGACATTGCAGGTACTTCGTCGTCCTCTTCACTTTCCCCAGAATCGGAATCAGTTGGTGTTGGCGTCAATCCAGATTCATCACCTGCACCTGCATCCATATTCCGCTCCGGAGATTGACGCTTCCGTAAGGTATCTACTGATCTGTTGATAGTGATGTTGGCATCTTCTTCGAGAAGGCTGTGTTCAAGATCTAGCTTAGCACTCTCTGTAGGGAGCACTGGCAAGTTGTGATGAAGGGGCAGTTCTGCCTGTTCTTCTTCATCTGCAGATGCCGCTTGGTTGAGAAGTTTCTGATGCTGATACCATGTTTTGGCCTGTTCTTCCCGTATACTGCGATACGGGTCGAGTTCTTCCCACCACTTGGTCCCATTCCATTTGCAGTCCCTGCGACTTGCACACGGAATAAGATGAAACCCTTCAGGCATTATCCCTGTGGTTGTAGACTCGTAGGCCCAAATACAGCCGTCTGTCAGTTTTCGAGCGATATCGACATCATCTTTGATCCCAAAGATCTTTGCGCCGATAGCAAACATACCCCCAGCAAAGCAAGTTAAGTGCTGACCATCATACTCCATAATCTCTGCAGAGGATCGGGTCTCATTATTGTCCGGCGGCATACCGCTTGTCTTCAGGGTACCTGCAAAGAGAATATCGCGCCCTGTCTCTGTCATGGGGCGATATAAAAGCTTGTCTCTGACAATGTTCATTGCACTCTTGTACATTGACTCGTACTGGTTGTTGAGGCCGCCGAGTAGCAGCCATTCTTTGGGAAGATACTCGTATGTAGAATCTGACATGCCACCCAATGTAAAAGTTTCCATACCTACATGCGGAGGAGAAGCGAGACCTTGAGGCTGGCAATCGACGTCACCCATGGTTGAGCCCTTTTTCTCCTCTAGTGCCACTGATGCTGCGGAAGAAGTGCTACCATCTGAAAAATTGTCGGAGGCTGGATAGGCAGGCTCTTCATCGATTGAAAATCCTGCATCATCTAATTGACGTTTGCTCTTAGAGCGATCTTGATACAAAGTCGCGCTGTCACTGTCCTGCTTGGGTGAAGTTTTCTCTTGTTCATGCACAGCTGCCTCAGGTGGATTCTGAATGGGAGGCAGAAGGTTTTGAGGCCCTTTTGAAGCCGAATGTGCCACCTGGGTGGATAAGTAATTGGCCTTCTTGCAGCCAGAGGCGTCAACCGCGACTGGCCATAGACCCGGGAGTTGTGTATTATTCTGCCATGTTTGTAATTCATTTGTAATCCTTGCAGCGGCATCGTAATACTTGTGTTCCTTGGTGATCTGTGCCAGCCTGGTAAATTCTAGCGACAATGTACCTAGTTCGGCAAGCACAACTCTCGATGAGGCTCGGTGTGGCTGTGACGCATAAGATGGTGCCCAGTGATAGTAGGTGACCGGCATCCTGTTGGGAGTGTCAAATGCACCCATGAGGATCTCTGCTAGTTCCACTGCCTTTTCTAATGGCACGGGATAGCGGCCAGACGAAATATCATAGGCTGCAATCAGGCCACCAAGGTATCTAATCACTGTTTCAAACAAAGGGATGTCTTTCCTTATGGATGTTGTAAAATCGATTTTCTTCACCTGCATGAGAGCCTCCTCAAATTCGTCCTTCAGGTCCATGATCCATAAAGTATCTAAAGTGTCTACCAATGTGGCTCCCCAGCCATTGAAGGGGTCTTTGAAGCCGAGCGACACTGGTTCGAGCTCGTCGTGTGGCATAGCATATTCTTTGTACCCGCTCCAAGCATGTTTGAAGGCCTCCTTTATGGCGTCAAGCTTTTGCCGATTGTCCATTTTGGCGGATGAGGCCTCAGCTGCGAACACATGCTGGATAGCTGGTATCCGCTTAGGTCGACCAGTGGGTAGTTGAATGATCGACTCAGCCGGTACAGGAAAATGCTCCTTTTGTGGGACCCAGTGAGGTTGCTCTAAAGCTGCACTGCCTGGATCAATCTCCAATCTTCCTTGCCCGTAAGACTTGAGCTCATCGGAGATGACTTCCCCGTCCGCTATTCTCTCGGCTTCGTTCCCTGCCAGCACGTCACCACCGTGTGCTGTTATCTGAGCTCGTCTTGAAGTTTGTGTAGAGGTAGAAGTAGCCAACACTTCTGAAAAGTCGAGTAGAGTAGATGATTGCACAGGCGTTGGAGAATAAGAAGACTGTCGAAGGGGGGATGTGCTCAAATTCGGTATTGGCACTGCAAGGTCCACGGGTGGAGGTATCGAGGAGCTCGAAAGGACCGCTGGTGAGGAGGTAGAGGCGACTTGATGGCCCAACTTCTTGAGTTTGTCAACACCAATAGATTGAGTATCCCAGTTGCGTATCCGGGTTATATGATAGAGACTGATGGTCACAACGATGGCGACCACTAGAAGTGCTCTATAGCGCCGTATTCGCAGCATGATAAAATGCCAAAAGCCCGGTTTGATGCTGCTCCTTGGGCCAGGAACACATTGGGACCAAGCAAGCGCTGTTGTTGTAGGCCCTCGTATTCTCCGAAGCGGTTTTCGTCTCTTGGCCGCATTCACTCGTTTCCGCCGAACATCACTCTATCTGATTGATTTCGAGCTCACTGTGCTAAGCTCTACTGCAACACCCAGGTTCCGATTCCGATGCCATTTCTTGGCACTTGAAGAGAACTACTAGTAGTATACTACATACCTACTAATCTACTCCGCACTCACCTCGACACTCACCTCAACCCTCACCCGCTCGGCGCCGCCTTTTATCACCAGCTCACCCACCACCCACCCGAGGCTCAGCGCTCCCGGGTGATTGGTGGGTGAGCGCTGCATGATCCTGCCTCACAACGGGCCACCTATTCAATCAAGGGGGAAGATGGTTTTCCACATCAAATCTTCTTCCCAACCCCTCCCCCAAGAAACAAGATGAGACCTCTTCGCCTTCTCTACTATATCATTCCTCTCTACTTGCATAAATAAACGATCAAAAACGATTAAAGTACTACCTCTACATTTTCTATCACTTATATAATACTCATAAAGAAAGATAGCCCATCCGTGATCTTTGAAGATCTGCGTTCTTATTTTCTTATATCCCTGTTCTTCTTACTCTTATCACATCAATTCAGTCCGCGATTATCTATAAACTTGAATTGTTGTAAACTTGAATTCTCAGTGTTAAATCCTCCTGGCGCCATAATAGTCTTTACCTGATGAAAAGAACTAGTAAATTATAGCGACTAATCTAATTATGTTGAACTTTTAACACTTCTCTTCAACGGGCAAGGCACTCTGTTATATCTATCTTCTATGGTCATTGATGGCCTTCTTATATCTACAAGTTCGTCGCCACTCTTGCCACCCTTGCTGGCGCCACTGCTTAGCGCTCACGCTTTTGCAATCTGCCTGCGGTCAGGGGCCTACGTTCTATTACCTAGTGTTGAACTGTTTGAGCGCCATTTGACTATGCGTTTTATATACGTTTTGTTACAGATCTGATACGCGGTATAGGTCACCAGATCATGGTAGAAGAGAGGTATGCATGGCCGGGCACCATGTGTGTGGCCTCTGACAGCCACAGCAACCACTACGGCGGTATAGGATGGTAAGTCGTCAAACTTTTCATGTTCAAACCTACAGTATTCATCTTGAATTCTTTCTAAAATCATTTTAGCCTAGGCTCTCCCCTTGTTCGTACAGATGCCGCATCGATTTGGGCAACATCGCGTACCTGGTGGCAGATCCCGCCGGTAGCACGAGTGAACTTTGTAGGAACGCTGCCGCCAGGGGTGACCGCAGAAGATATCGCAGTCGCCCTAAATATTTGTGAGCATGATAACTTGATTTTACTGCACTGTTTGGCTCACATATCCTTCAGTCTTCAAGAGCGACGTGCCGAACCATGCCGTTGAGTTCACTGGCTCCGAGGAAACTATGGCAAGTCTGCCCGTGGATAGCAGGTACACTTTGAATTATAAGCTTGTATAGAATACCAAGACTAACTTCTCTGCAGATTGACGATCGCCAATATGACTACTGAGATGACTGCTCTGTCAGTGAGGGGATAAAAATGAATTAGGTTCAATTCCTAATAGCGCTTTGATGGTTCAGTCGTTTTGTCTCCTTTTCTCTGTCAGGTGAGTTATTGGCTTATGAATCTACTAGTCTTTCAAGCTAGCATCTACTAACCAGCTAGCAGGCTTATTCCCGGTGGACAAAACCTTGGAACGCTGGCTTCGAAATAAGGCAACCGAAGCTACCATACTCGACGACCGTACGACTCGACTACGTATCACGCATGAGAAGATAGACGAGCTGTTCGCGAACCCCCTCACGGCTGACCGTGATGCTGTGTATGCGAAGCAGTTATATCTGAATCTTGACACACTCGCGCCCTATGTGTCAGGCCCGGACTCTGTCAAAGTCGGGACCCCTTTGCATGAGCTGGCGCCGCAGCATATCAAGATCAATCGTGCTTACATCGTCTCGTGCACTAATTCACGGGCTTCCGATCTCGCCGCAGCCGCTAAGGTCTTTAAGGATACAGCCAAGGCAAATCCCGACACTCCTCCTAAGATTGCCTAAGGTGTCCAACTCTACATCGCTGCGGCTTCCGCACCCGAGCAGGAGGCCGCAGAAGCTGTAGGTGACTGGCAGACTCTACTCGATGCTGGCGCTCAGGCGCTGCCCGCCGGCTGCGGACCCTGTATTGGGCTTGTGCAGGCCTGCTGGTTGGAACAAGGTAATCTACCCCCGGCAGTACAGAGTTACAATCGAAACTGACCTAATCGTGGCGCCTCAAACCGTAAGTATAAAGGCAGAGTCGGACATAGGGACGCGCAAACCTATCTGGCAAGTCCCCAGGTTGTAGCAGCTAGCGCTCTCAAGGGCGTCATTTCCGGTCCGGACACCTACGAAGTTCCTACGAATTGGTCTGGCGTAGAGTACGGGTACGGCACCAGTGCCGAACCGACTACAGAGACCAAGCTTTCAAACTTCGTACAGCAGATGGAGTCGCTAATCGAGCAAGTGGAGTCTATTGAGACTCCTAGATCCGAAGTCGACATCTTGCCAGGGTTTCCCGAAAAGATCAGTGGTGAAATCATTTTTTGCGACGCCGACAATCTTAACACTGATGGTATTTACCCGGGGAAATGTACTTACCAAGACAACTTTTCCAAGGAGGATATGGCACGCGTCTGTATGGAGAATTATGACCCCTAGTTTGATAGTATTGCTCGTCCTAATGACATCCTCGTCTCCGGCTCCAACTTCGGCTGTGGATCATCAAGAGAGCAGGCTGCCACGGCCATCCTAGCGAAGCAGATCCCGCTAGTCGTGGCTAAAAGCCTCGGGAATATCTTTTCCCGAAATAGTCTTAATAACGCACTCATGGGCCTAGAGGTTCCACGCCTCGTTCAGCGCCTACGTACCCATTTTCCCTCGCTAAGTCACGACACGAAGCGACAGCTAACACGCCGGACCGGCTGGACGCTGACATGGGACGTTAAGCGTAGCCTTATCGAGGTGCAGGAGGGGGAAGGTGGAGAAACCTGGACAGAGCAAGTCGGCGAGTTATGAAGAAACGTCCAAGAGATTATCGCAGCTTGGGGGCTTAGAGGCCTGGGTGAAGGCCGAGATTGGGAAGGCGGCGCCTGCTGATACATAAATGGCGAAATTGTGTACATCTCGCTAAAGGCACAAAGAAAAAAAAGTTAAGATTACATATTAACTACTTCCTCTAAAGTAACCTGTACCCTTTCGACTTCATATCCCTTTCGGAATTTCGTGTAGTCGCTGTTACGGCCTGGAGTTATACCCTGGGCGTATTAGCGGAGTGTATAGCGAAGAGGGTTCGCGTGTCAGCTCACGTAGCGGTGTGCTAGGTAGGAGGGCAGGGAGTTGAGAGCGCTGAGGCCAGCGCGGGTCACGTGTATACTCTAGGACATACAGGTGCTTACGTGCGCGCAGCAGTGCACACTGCCTTTCTCCTGTATACTTGTTTATTTGCTGTTGATAGACGTATTGGTTCTCTTTCTGCATCCGTAACAGCTCGCTTGGTCTTCCTCTCGTCGCTCCCTTCTAAGACGTACTCACGTTTAATACCCCATTTATCTTCTTAGCGATACTCACCCGAAAACATTGAAAGCAGAAGTTCCTTACCTTCATATCCGTCAACCAGTTGCGAATTGACGTCTGGGAAGTTTCTCGTGATCCTCTCAGGATTTCCAGCCATTCCCGCGCTCCTTTTGCCGGCTTGGTGAGCTCGATGGCTGCCTGAAGGACAAGCCTAGTTTGCTGACAGTCAACCACTGCACTGCAACGCTTGATGAGTTAGACCGATCAGATAGCAAGATTCTGCAGCCTTGGCCCCCTGAAGTACTGCTTATTTGCTAGCTAATCTTAAGAAGGAAGGAAGAGGGGAAAGTTTATCCAATCAGAAAGATGATTCCCGTGGCCCGCATTTTTTAAAGCTTACAGCACTTTTCAGCTAAATTGATCGAGCTTGGCGGTCCTTTTACATTTTAGAGATGATTAGTAGAAAGATATAAAAATAACGTTTAGTCTACTTAATACTTTTAAAAAGTTGAGGTAATGTTCAAAAACCTGAGAACTGCCATAAATTTTGGGCACTAAGCTTTGATCAGATTTTACTTAACTTGGCAGGATGAAATAACTGCTCCTTATTACTGGTTGGCGATTCTGAATTGTTACTTGTCAATGAGAGACGAACTTGTCGACCGGCTACCTTGTCCAGGTAGATGTTTCCGAACCAGAAGATCTTTGAACTGGCCCAGTTATCGCTACGCTACACGCTGGTAAGTCAAGAGGGTGATATACTCTAATTTAACTGCTCTACACAGCCGTAGAGGCAGCCACAATCCGAAGAATGGCGCGACTCAAGCTAGAACTTAGGTAGAGATTTGAATCAGCGTAAGTTGGGGATTGATCTATCTTTTCCAAAACCATCAGGTCTTGAGTCTAGCAGCCATATCCTTGATCGACAGAACCCGTCTCGGTGTACCAACAAATCAACTCTAGCTCATGAGCGCAAAAGACACTTCGAAACCCCCTTCAGAAGGAAGGAGTGTTGAGCGTGAGACCCATCAAACAACCACCAATAAGACCGGCAATGGGAATCGTCATAAGCCAAGAGAAGAAGAGGAGACCAACTCGGTGCCAGTTAACAGCCTTGAGGGTGCCGTTGCAAAGACCGACGCCAACAGTAGCACCGGTGATGCACATCGAGGTCGACACAGGCAGCTTGTACTGAGAGAAGACGAGGATAGTGATAGCAGCACCCATCTCCATGGAGGAGCCACGGGAGGGAGAGTGGTAGGTGATCTTGTTGCCCATGACTAGTAAGGCGGAATCAGTATTGGGGACGTCAAGTAGGGGACTTGTCGAACGTACCTTTCATGATGTTGTAACCATAAGTGATAAAGCCAATGCAAATGGCCAAGGCAGTAACGGCAATTTGCCAGAGGGGCACCGGGGCCTTAGCAGCGATGGCTGTAGAAGTAGACCACGCAGAATACATGGCAGCCCAGACACCAACAGCGTTGCCGACATCATTTGCACCATGGGCGAAGGACGCAGTGCAGGCGGTGATGATCTGAACAAACGAGTACAAATATTCAACCTCATTGGGGTACTTGGTTGCGTGAGCATAGACGCCGTCCATGCGACGACCTTCCGGAGTGCCCAGGACACCAACTTGAGCCTTGTGGATGTCGTAGTACAGACCGTAGAGGAGGGCAACGACAACGTACGCAGGTAGGCGGATGCAGAGAGCCTTCAGATTGTGCAGCTCATGGATGGAGCCGGCTCCCATGGGGTTAGCGTGCAGGGTACGCATGGCCCAACCAAGAGGACCCCGCTTCTTCCGGAGGTCGGCGTGATGGCGCTCAAGAGCTTTCTTGAGAAGTAATTGATATTGTTCATGGGGGGTTAGGGCTGCGGCGCCTTCCTCCTCAGCGAGAGTCCGAGGCTTGGCTGGAACGGCGGCAGTGACGATGTCATCTCCCTTGATGGCAGATTTCTCCCGGTCGGTGTGAACTTTGGTGACACTGTGTTCAGATGAGGAATCATCCTTCTCGTCCTCACCACCATGCTGTAAGACAGCATAATTAGGGACTTTGGCGCGGTCCGCGTCCGGTGGGGCAGGGCGTTTAAAGAGGAGAGGTCCTTGGTAGATATGGTACAACTTGAGGGTGTAGTCCTTCTTGACGACTTTGGCATGGACATAGGGGACGAAGAAAATGGCGGCCAAGACGAAGAGACCGAAGCCAGTACCGAGCGAGACACTGGCAATAAACCAAGCCGGCTTGTTGGACAGACCAAGATTTGGTGATCCCTTGTAGACAATCGACAGGGAACAGATTGTGCCAGCGATCAGGAAGAAGCAGGGAGACGTCCACACAGCCCAAGGCACCGGGTTGGTACGGAGATGGACAACCCACTTGACAAGCAGAAAGATGGTCGCAGCGAAGCAGCCTGAGATGACAGGAGCCATAGCCAGACCTGAGAAGATAGCGCCCAGACCCTGGCCACCGTTCCAGCCCCATTGGACGCCACGCGCACCGACAGTCGCGACACCGACACCAGCAATTGAGGAAACAAGAGAGTATGTCGAGGACACGTGGGCGTTGTGGCGTGTACACCACATGACCCAGATAGCTGCACCGGCAGATGCACAGGTGAAGGCAAGGAGCTGGACTCCGGCGTTGTCGTTGAAGGCTGAGATGGGTATGATGCCATTCTTGATCGTTGATGCGGTTCTGGCGCCCACGGCGAGGGCACCGGTCATCTCGAAGATCAGGCAGAGAATCATAGCTTGTCGATACGTGACAGACCGCGACGATACGCTCGTCGCCCAGGCGTTAGCGACGTCATCTGGAGAGGAGGTCTTAGCATTGTCCAACACTGTCGCGTGGGGGAAGGAAAAGCTTACTGGCGCCGTTGTTGTACGCTTCGAGTAGGGCAAAGAAGGTGCCTATCGCGAAAATGTAGGTGTACTCGGAGAGCACCATCTTGGCGAAGGATACAAGCAACGGACTGGGCGAAGAAGCTCTCTCGGCACTGCTTGGAAAAGGCTTAGATGTGGAGGATAAGAATTGTAGCAGAACAGCAATTGCATGCCTGCAATATATATGCGGCGTGAGGGCTGCATGGTGGTATATTGGTGTGAGAAAAAGTGACTTTCTACCAACAGTGTCGGCGACTTACAATTGAGTATCGACGCACGTGGGCTTCTCTTGTAGTAAGTTTGTACTCCTTACTGAGAAGGAGAGATAGGTCAGGTCGAAGCGAGTGGCGACGCCAAGTGATGCGAAGTGGAGGCCAAAATCCCAGCGGGGCGATAGCTCGCTGGTAGCTCGGTAACTAGAGGGTACCAGATTGGATACTACCGTGGGGCGGCAGCAGAAACAAATGCTGATCTGCTGGCTTCCCGATGAACTTCAGCAGAAATATACGATGCCGGGCCCTGAGCATACCACGGCTGAAGGCATAAATGATGTAAGCTCCGAGGTAGTATCTTTTTACTCAAGATCAACGAAAAGTCGCTTACTACGCCCGTAGTAGTCTACATAGTATCAGCTTTGTGTTTTGGAAAGCACCCAGCCAATTGTCATTCTGGTAAGCTAGCTAAAGCCTTATTGATATTTGAGACATTGCTAAGACCTCGTAACAGAGAATAGATGCTACTAGTTCACACTTACATTACTTATGTCCCCTACCGTAGTAGGCAGAGCTGCGAGCTGTAACTCGGGCGAAATATCATACGTCAAGAAAAGGCGTCACTTTATATGGCCAACTGCGGGCTTTCATATGACTGGCCGTCGATATGGCGGCCCCGGTGATTGCAGTGGTTGCAGTGATTGCTCACACAGTGGAGACAGTGAATCTTGATTCGGCTGCACTTGAGCCTATCAACGTGAGGAGATCTCGAGTTGCGATCGAGACCTCACACGACAGTAAGGGGCAGAAGTATCCATAGCTCGGCGCCTAGTAGCAATTAGCTCTGATACAACGCCACATGGGCTTCTAGAAGCTTTTTGGGCAATTTCCATACTCCTTGGCCATCACACTCAAGGCTTAGCTGTCTCGTGTGTAGTCCGTTTTTCGGCACTGATATATTACCTACTCCGTACTACGGTAAGAGACCTAGGGAGTGTAATACGGGGGGCTGAAGCAACGTTAGCTCTGCGCTAGTATCTTTAATTGTGAACCCTTTTTTGTGCGAACAGCTATGTTCAAAAGAAATTAGATGTAATGATTTGACTCATCAGAATGGATGCATGCAGAACAAATTTAAAGTAGCGAATCATAACACTACGTTATTGTGATAAGAACTGGCTGCTCTCAGCACCAGACCAATATTACTTCAGGCCCCCAGTGATAAGCATGTGTCTGGTAAAATTGTTATTAACGCCATGATACAGAGACTCTTACTCTCTTAAACAGATGATGGCCCTATCTCTTGGCGTTATCCAACGAGTTCCACGTGTAAATTGCTGGCCTAGAATGCTGTGCCTGCAGCCTATCTCTTAGAGTTGCTCGAATCAATGTCAGAGAGATGCCAGGCAGCTGTTGATGTCAATGGTATGCACGCACAATGTCAGATACATCAGCTACTACTACTAGTAGTAGTCCTGACCCAATGATTATGTGGCGCTCCATCTTGGCGTTACCAGCTCCTAGTAGCTCATACCGAGGTGCGCTTACATAACTTATGTCGTAGCGTATTACAGAGCGATGAAATTTTTGGTACTCAATACTTGGTGATACAACGTGCTTACCGTTTTGATATCTGGGAACACAATCTAACATCTTACGTTACACCAACATTACTGATGTTCTCTTTAAAATGGAGCAAGCCGAAATTAATAGCTGGAAAGCTAGGTGGAATTAAAAATGCCCAGAAATTTCATCACTTTGTGAGTACTCACAGACTAAACATCATGCCCCACGTGGTTGGCGATAGCAGTGGCAGGTTTTCTGAGTGCCCGGAGCGGCGGCTTAGCGGAATATTAGCTAATGTCTCAGCAGTTTCTTCACCAGGCTTGACTGGTTCTAGAAGGGCTGTCAGATCCAATGTGGCGAGCATGGTTCAACCGAGGTTGCATCCTGCACAGCCAGGGTCTCATCTATCCAAAGTTGGCACCAAGAGTAGTTTTGCATGCATCCCCGAACCAATTATAAGCCGCCTCAGACAAAAGGTTATGAAAATCAGCTCTCCCAGCTAACATGTCTATGAAGAAGCAGGGGCTGGTTGCGTTGAATCTGCATTTTGATTGTTCCAATAGAGTGCGGCGGCACCAGTATGAGAGAAAAATTGCATGTTGGGTTGCCTCGGTTCTGCATTCTGCTTTCAGTCTGGTTGTTGATAACTGACGGCTGGACACTTACCCCAATGCCAATCACAACCTTTTAAGACATGGGTTGGTGGGTCCCGGCCTGCCTCTTACTGCATAAGTTGCTGCATGGCAAATTTGCCAACAAGGCGCATTCCAAGGCTGTTCATTCATAACGCTGAATGTTAGCTATCGTCTTCTCTGCCCAAGACCATCACGCCAGGCACCGCCCCAAACACCATTGGCACTGAAGTCAAAAAATAATACCTGGGTTCTGTCTATGCTGCTATCATACATTTGCAAGGACACCGGGTTCTGGATTTACCAGTTTGCAAGGAAATGCGACTATTGTAACAGCAATGCTTCAGCGTACTTATTTCTTAATTAAGGGCTTTATGTAATATCAGCGATCGCCTATGTCCTCTGTCTTTGCTACCTGAAAGTTACGTCAACACAGCTTGAGAAACCCCCTCATTGCGCCAGAGCTTGCGGTGATCATTGTCATCGGAATGGCGGATGCGTGGGAAGGAAGTCACGATCGATGTTATCGAGATCTAATACAAGAGCAAAGGGTCATACTGACGTCCTCTATCCTAGCAATACCCGTGAAGCAGCTCAGCGGTTTTCAAGCTGTGAGATTTGCTCATTTCATGCGCTACATTACATCCTGCTCATTTCGTCCTGTCCTTCCATCGAGGTGCCTCTACAGTACCCTTCGATTAAGATCGGATCTCCCCTTACCGACTCTGCGGGCAGTGACTCTTTCAATAACTACCTCCCTATCGATCTGCTGGGTCTAGCTCGGTTTTGCCTTGCTAAACAACTCTGCGGTGGCTTGTACACCAACCTCTTCCTTTTCCTCGTCCTCTTCACCTCAGTTCCGACCCTGATAGTGTTTTGGCCCGTTTCATCGTCAGCCTCCCGCGGCAAGAATGAGAAAGCTCGATGTCCCGGTTGACCAGTGCAGCATCGTCTCTGCTTCCGCAACGAGAAGCATCAGCACAAATACTGCGGCAAGAACGAAAATACCCATGGTGACATTCCACGAGGTGTACTTTGATGAAAAGGTGGACTTCAAGGGCGACCGTATTGAGGCTATGAAACACAGGCACGACTGAGCCATGTTCAAGTTCACGTGGAGTTTGTTCAAGTTTGTTTTCACTGGTTTTGGTCCCAAAATCAACATGCATACTAGATCTGGGGGCGAAAAGCAAGTCTGAGACCAGTATGACCGAGGACTTCTATGGCTGGTTTCTGAACCTCCGAATGATACACCTCTGGCATCATTTTAGATATCAATCACGAAGAGAACCTCGAGTTGTTGCAGGGCAACAAGCCGGCCGTCGTATGCGAGAAGATTGGATTGCAGAAAGGAGACACCATGCTGGACTTGTTATTTGACAAAGGTAATCTTAACTCCTAAGCACTCTCAACTGGATGGGTCGAGTGTGGTACATTAAACAGCTGAACGCTTATCTCCAAGGTATGAGAAATATGATGCGGACGACAAGAAAAACAAGAAGCGTGGTAATTACACATTCGTGAGTCCATCTATCGTGACCTTCGACGCGTCTACCTCTTTCCCTTTCTTTCCTTCTCCCTGTTAGTTCCCTCCTGTCCGTGTTGACTTGTACCCTGGAGTTCAAGGCGGAGCCTGATATGAGGCTGACCCACTCGGAGTCGGATGCGGAGACTATCTGTGACACAGCAAGGGTCATCTTGAAATCAAGCCATCTTACTCTGGCGCATCTTCTGGAGCTGGACTCCTTAATGTCTCCGTTTATGGCTCTGTGTCATCACGAGACTGATCGCGTTCAGTATCATCAGCGCTACTCCATTCACTTTGCTTGTCGCATCGTCTGATAAAGGGAGAGATGAAGACGAAGGTGAGCGCAGAGACTGACTGACTAAATAGCACCTCGTCATTAGTTTCTTTGGCTCGAGGGGATCAATTGTATCTTGAGGGGTTGTACAATAGAACGAAATAGGTCATACTTGAGATCAGTACATCTGGCGTTACTGTTGATGTTTGAATGATTTTATCGTTAGTTGCATTCTCGTCTGAGAATACGACCGTAGAATAAATAGTTATCAGGGTATGTCGTGGTCGTTTCAGAGAAGAACAGAATCAGGTCTCTTTTGGAGACGATAATGTGTCTTGACAGAATTGAAGTAGCATTCGAGGGCCTCAACGTTATCCAAAGATTTTAGTCACATCTTGAACCAATTTTCTAAATCCTTTCTTTGAATGTTGTATTTCGTCTATATAATCGAATGCCGGCTTAGAATCCTATAAGATCTTACGAACACGCATGTCTTCTCACTTTATATCTGCAACATCAGCAGCATTACTTACAGGCCACTTGTCTAAATAACTCCTTCTAGTCCGGTCTCTTACGCTGCCATCGAATCCCTTCTCCCATGTACAACCAGCACACATTCACAATAATACATAGAATATCATCTCTATGTCATGGCTGTAAACATGCTCAAAATTACAAAGCACATTGATGGCTATGAACTCCATGTTACTAGTTATACGTCGTCCACTCGTCCGTTCGCTGTCCACTATATCGAGATCAAGATCAATTAGCACATCGTTAAACCCATTACCTCTTTCAGAATCTGTGATAATGATATTATCCTCTGAGATGTCTTGGTGTGGCAGCTGAGCGATCACAGGAAGACTCATGATGAGCGGAGTATCAGCTTATCCCTTCGCTCCTCCATCCTACCTGCTCCCTGCTCCCTGCTCCATACTGCTCCTGACTCCTTTCATCTTCTCTACACACTTCACCTACTTTCGCGATTGGGTTCAGCCGCTTGTCCCGCTTCCTTGCCTCTGCTCCTCTTCTCTCTTTCTTAAGTGGGTGGTCGTTCCATCTTGAAGAAGCTGGTTCAAAGCAACCTCAGATCACACGAGTGAGGCCTCAAGAACTGGATTTGGCTCACTAAAATGTCCCGCAATCTCGTTCACGCCTTTCGAATGCATCGTCTTTTATTCATAGTCTTCTCGCTTTCATGTCTCTCCAAGCTATTTTTCCTTTCCAGTGTCCTGCGCTACTCTTCTCTGGCTAGACTTCCATATTTTGCTCTGGCCACAACATGATAGTCCTCTGCATGAGCTTGTAAACTGTGTAGTCAGTCTATAGTAGATACAACAGAGAAGAATTCCATGGATTAACTGCCGATCACAGAAATGCCTCACACCGTCACCCTGATGTGAAGAGACCGCTGCATCTCCTCATACTTCCATGATTCGAAGTCTCAGCCGAGTTCGAGCAGCATAGGATGTAGATACTAGTAGTTAGACAGGTTTATGACCAAGGGCAGACGAATTGGCAGCGGTGGGATGCTGCAAACCATCATAGTACTGCGCTGGAGTGCGACTGCAATTGAGATTACTGCATAAATTAGGCCGTGCGGAACTCTGCGGGACAGGTCTGGCCATTTACCAAAGCGGAAATTCGTACCTATGCCGCTAAAAGGTGTTTTCTAGAGCATTGATTTGGCTAATCGGAGTGCCTTCGGAGTGCCTTCCTAGGACCGAAGCTTGGCGCCAAAATTTATGGCATTTCTCAGATCCCCTTCCTCCCCCCCCTTCTTCATTCCCCTATTTCTCTACTAATACTCACTCAAATTAAGGGAACAATGGATTCTGAACGGGGAAATAGACGACGCGTCTGCCGAAAGTCAAATTCGATAGATCCTCCTTCTCCTGCACCTTTGCGAACGCCAAAAACGATGCTCGATACGCCGCGCTGTGCGCGCCTTCTTGCTGACGCACGCCACACAGCTGGCAAATTGCCTCGTACAGAGCTATTTAAGATACACAATGTAGCCAGACGAACTGGCTTTCAAATCCTTAAAGAAGGAACTGCGCGCCGTAGCGAAAAAGTCCATAATTGAGGTCGCAAAAAGATACTTGCTCTATATGAGTGCGAAGCAATTGAAGCTGTTGAAGA